TGTAAATAACTTTTCAAATAAAAAATATCGAAATCGGCGTCATGGACGATTCTATTTACGGCACAGCCGACACAGTTTTTTTTAAATAGATAAGTCTCTATTTACGCAAAGATAACATGAAGCGTTATATAAATAAACATATACTACATACATACATACTGTATTTCAATTATATAACAAAACAATCTTTATTTCTTCTTACCTATAACGTTTGTTTGCCTGATCCTTAACTGATATTTTAGATGTAATATAATTTCTTAGATCATAGAACTGTATTGTATTAAACGTATTCCTACAGTGCTTTACCTTTATAATTTAATAAATGTTTCCCTCGCTTTTACAACTCGATCGCTTATCGCACCGTGCTGTCAATTTGAAACTTTCTCCTTTTAAAGTCATGTTGGAGTTTGGAGCCTCGATGAAAGGATCTAAATTATTATTTACCCGTTCACCGAAAGTCGACATCTTATTTGGGCTAAACGTTTGTTACTCTCCGCATGACTAAGGGATACTTGTCTCGTTAGCGTTTTTTATTTTTTTATATTGGACAAAGGCTGTTATGACCGAAGACTTCGAGTAGTCCCCGAAAGTGTTTCTTTTTTTTAATCGTAGAAGAAAACAAACTAATTTAGACGCTGTCGTCTTAACAAGCACTTCGCCCAACTTCGAAATAAGTATATCCTAAATTAGAAAGAAAACATCGTGGTCAGTACACTCAAATAGAAAGATAACCTTTTGAGCACCATGGACTATAAGCAGAATGTATATATACACTTAATCTATCTACTACAGACTTATAAATTAGGACACTTATAAATGTTCCAAAGAAAGTTAGACGGTATGCTTAGCCGGTTTGGACACGTGGAAAATACGCGATGAGGAAGGATTAACGAACATAATTAATAGTGCAAACGTTATTGTAAAAGTTAAATGACCCTTAAGACTATTATATCGGCTATGTTGGAACCCGCGTTCCAGGGCGGCTCTCACCGCCCCCAGCTACCGATTAAGTCATCAGCCATCGGATCACGGTCGGTACCAAACCTCGATAGCCAGTAAGTGACATATCTCCCTTTTAAGAAAACGCACGCATGAGCCCATGCACGGCCCTACCCAACGTTGTGGCTTGGGGGGCCGTATAAATCTCGTGTGGTTTTTTTTATGTGAAAAGTTGCCAAACGAGCAGACGGTTCACCTGATGTTAAGTGAATACCGCCGCCCATGGACATCTGCTACACCCGAGGGTTACAGATGCGTTGACAACCTTTTGAAAATTGGGCTCCGGCTACCTCTCTCACCAGACGAAACGCGAAAGTATTTGTCATACTTCCACTTTACGCTGGTCTTCTGTGAGGTCGTGGTACTTACCCGGATGGGCCTGCCCATTCGTGCAACAGCCGAGGCTGCTGCATGGCCACCGTCGTGTGTTCTGGCAAGCCTACCAGATCTGCGTTCGATGATTCATTTTGAACGCAAAAACATCAGTTGAAGTAAAATTAAGTCCAGTTTGGCAATATACTGAGATATGGGCGGCGTCAAATTCTGTCGTCGAAGCGTATTCGAAGATTATCATGCCTATCTTTAAGTAACTTGTAGGATAGATAATTGTTTCAGTTCTGGTTGCTTGTCCAGATTGTAAATCGTCACCATACACTGTTTGTTTTTGTATCTTATAATGTTACTGTTTTAAAAAAAAGAAGAAAAAGTATGTGTAATATGCGTATGTACGTTTATATTTACAATATTTTAATTGGAAAATTATACCTATGAACTTTATAGTTGAGTATCTATACTAATTTGATGGAAGCATAACATATTTTAGTTAACTTGAAATAATTTATCAGATAATAATACGTTTGACGTAATGTAATAAAATATTAAATCCAACGTTAGGCTTAACCTTTTATTCTTCAGCTTTTTGTCGCAAAATTAAGTCTTAGAATCGATGATATAATCACTACATAGTATAAAACAAAGTCGTCTCGTTGTCTGTCTGTCCCCATGTATGCTTACATCTTTAAAACTATGGAATGGATCTTGATGCAGTTTTTTTTACTAGGTAGTATATTCAAGAGGAAGGTTTATATGTATAATACATTGCATCCGTGCGAAGCCGGGGCAGGTCGCTAGTTTAGTATAAACTACGTAGTATAGTCATACTGTGTCATGTACTCTTGCTATTACTAAAAAAAATATACATACATAGAATCGCACTTACGAGCCAGTAAATCACTTCTGAATCCCTTAAAACACCTGCTGTTACCGTTGACTTGAGGGTTGTCAGTAATGTGATATGAGATATTTTCAGATACAAGACAGCATATAATAAAATATTCTATACAAATTTCAATAATCTTAAAGTTAAAAATAGTCGATACAATCGACACCACGTTATACAATTTAATTCTGTACTACACCTTTCAATAAAGTTATAGTATAAGAAACAGCTATTTACATGAATCATGTCACGAAGTGAACACGAAACTAAGTTTTTTATGTATTTTTTCCCTACTATGGCTCCACTGATACGTCAGTCATTTTGCCAATAATTTGGGTTTTTTATGTATTAGGCAATGTATAAACCATACCGGCCAGCCCTAATGGCGTCACAGATAAAATAAAAATTGCGTCGTGTTATGTAATTATTGTCGTCGTGACATCTCGACGTGACCTTGACTCGAACGAATCGAATGTTACGAACATAAAGTCGTGACCGAATCGGTGAAGTGAGCTGACATTCATCTGTCATAAATCGATTAATCGTATCCCTAACATTACCGGTTGGTGTTGTCGCTTTTAAAATTATCGATTATTCACACCTTTGGTAATATCTTTCTGCAAGCTCCATTGCATTCTACCAAGGAGTATGCATCTCCTTTTTGGTGGCGATTCGAAATCTTTTCAAAAATCCGTTATAATTTATTCAGACATTTAAAAATATCGAAAAAAGTTAAAAGCTGGCAAGCGAGCAGATTGTTCAACTGATGATACCTTCGTAATTGCAATTGCGTTCCGAACTTTAAAAAAAGTAGGCTCAGGTTATCTCACTCACTAGACAAAACTCGAAAGCATATTACTTCCACTTCCAACCAGTCTTCTGATAAGCCGTGGTACTTTTCCAGAGGCCCATCTTTGTCTTCTGGATATACCAAACTGTACACGTCCCGTGTGATCTTCGAATTAACATCGCCCGCCGTTCAATATAACCTATTAATTTAATGTCTATAATGAAGTGATAGCGCTGCACCTATTTTTCCCCTTACCTTTTTATCTCAAGCCAGCCGCATGACTCAACGTGGGAAGTTCGAAGCAGTTGATTCTATCCTACAGTGATGCCAGCACTTTTAGTACCGCCCGCTGTCCTAATGTAATTCCCGTGTAATTTTTGTCCACTTCGGAATCGTTCGATTGCAACCGAGCGATGTGAACGGCTTGATTGATATGTTCTCTCGTTCGAATTGTCGTTGTAAAACGACATTCGAAATTGTTTGTATGCTGGAAAGGATATAACAATGGGTGCGACAAGCATTGCTTCAAATACTAAAAGCAATGTAGATAAAAGACGTTAAGATTTTCGTCGGTGTGGCAATCAGACATTTAGCTAAGTGCCTAAAGCGTCAGTCCACGAATGCCGAAGACGTGGGTTAGATTCCCACAGCGGCGACAGTCTTTTCGTACGTTTTCTACAAATTTTAATGATATGTTGTTTCTTCAAAGAAGCCTTGCCTCCACTGCATTTAAAAATTTTACCATTTCGTAAGTACGAGTATATATAACATGGATTGCACATATTTATTCAGTATGTAAGTATTAGTAAAACACAGGAGCCGATTTCCCTATAGGCCAAAGTTTAGGCGGTGGCATAACATGGTGGGATTTTTTAGCAGTCGCGCCTTTCGCCCCTAGCTCCTTTGCGTAGCCATTTCCCACCGACAAGGTGACAAGACATTCGGTAGCAAGTTTGCTTAGTACCAGGCTCGCATTTACGTTCTTGTATGTTCGTTGAAGGAATCGCAAAAATGAGTGAAAAGAAGTGCTTTACAGCGGTTAAGGGGGCTTTTATGAGTCTAGGGGACTAACGGTTCAAATCCATCACTGGCAAGAATATGAACGAATCTTTGTAGATAAACTTGTAAAGACAAATCTGAATACTTTTCAGTATATTTTCGCTCATTAAATGTCCTAGAATACTTGCCACTTGTGGAAGTCGAACACACACAGCCACAGCCAATAATAGCAACTACGGAACGGAGCTATCGAGTGTAGAAAGTATGACATTTTAGTATTGACAGCAAATGCCTGGAAATAAACAAATAGTTTTTAATTTGAAACAAACATAAGTAGAGATTAATATAGTGAACGTTTTTATAATACGTATATAGTGCAGTTGTTAACATTGTGATTTTTTTTATATTTTTATTATGGCATAGTTTACAAATCGTCTTTGCTAGTACGCCATTCAACTTTACCTATTTAGGAATCGATATGGTTCGGAGTCTACGTTGGCTCAGCAGCTAAATGATTGACCCTAGCGCAGCGGGTAGTCGAGTCGAAAGCAACGATTAAAAAAGAATAAAATGATGTCGCACAAGTGTGCAATATTGAGTGAATTAAAGGTGGAAAGTGAGCTGTCAGTTCACCTGATGTTAAGTGATAACTGACTGTTGCAGATGCATTGCTGTCTTTTAATACTTCCACTTCACGCCGCTCTTTTGTGAGGTCGTGGTACTTACCCGGGCGGACCTGCCCATTCGTGCAACAGCGAAGACTTGGCTTGCCCTGCCACGTAGAAATAGTCGAAAATTTTACACCGTTGCCAGAGTTGTAACCACTTAGCTTAGTACCTGAGCTAAGAGCTAGCTTGTCGTCTGGACGCTTAATCCCGAAGTTGCAGGTTCGAATCCTGACTGCGATGTAAAAATCTTCGACAATTTACGTATACATTTAATATTAAGCAAAAAAAAATTAATTAAATAGTGTTATGTTATATTGATCTGCAGCCGTCAATCCCGGGCACCACGCAGCGTCTACTCGTACAGAAGCGCCGTGGCGCCCTCTGTCGCCTCCACACACCGATCCAAGGTCTCGAGAAAGGTAAAGCATACATGTTATTATCTTGCACCTACGACGTACGGTAAGAATTGCTTTAAGGTACAACTTCTCTAGAGGAATCCAATCTACGAACTTTCTTGAACTACCTATTTATCAATCTATCATGTCTTATCTTACCTTTCTCTATTATATTCATTTACAATCAAACTTTTCGAGTAGACATTTTCAATGGTACATAGCCAAAATAAATCATCTGTGTTAACAAGCGTTTGTCCTATTGGAAATGAAACTTTAACGGCGACGCTAGAGGGTTCCATTCCATAATTTAAGAACCATAAGTTACTAATTTATAAAAGAAGACCGGCGTGAAATGAAATAGTTAATACTTTTAAGAGTTATTCAACATATCTAATTGCATTGCATTGAATTGTCTATTTACGTCAAAACATGCGAAATTTCAGGCTGGTGTCAAAGTTGACGCGATGGCGGCACCCAACCCGTTCTGCCCCAACGTGAAGGGAATGTGCTGCCTCATGCTGCTTCTCAACCTTGGCCTCATCCTCGTCACCCTGGGCTTCGTCATTGTGCTGCAGTTCTTCGAGCCGCTGTTCGTTTGGTGAGTGGTCAGGGATGTTATCCAAAATACTAAATCGGATCTTAGGCGGGATCCAGAAATAAACTACGCAGTTAATACGTCAATGATAATAAATGAGAAACGTCTTTGGAAACACGAAGAAAATACTTCAATGATCTTCGCAACCAGTATTATGCTAACGTCATGCCTTTGAACATTTAAAAGAAGAATCAACTATAGGGCTAGAGTTTATTAGTAGTAATAGTCCAGATTTTAGCATTTTTGCTCACTCACCGTTACAGTTAGCACTAAATTCGAAAATGTACAGCATTTTCAAGGGTAAAAGAGGTGACTTTATTAGAATTAGTAAGGCAAAGCATTAGGGAAACGCTATTGTAAAACCGATGCCCAAGCTTCTAAAGAGAACCAAAAAGAAAAATGCAACTTGGCGTGGGAACATACTGAGAGGACGTGAAGTTTTCTCCATAATTCTATTCGGCATCTAGGCCAAGGAAATTTGGTTAAAAGCGAGTGATCCGGTGAATTTCTATAATGGCTCGAACTAGAACTAAACGAGTGTAAACGACGAGGACCGCACAGCTCGGGCCTTTGTTCCCGAGCGACATTAAAAATCAATTTAAATCTTTTTTTTTTTAAAAACGCGGCAAGTGTCCAACGGTACACGCAATTTGGATGACAATGTGACATCAATGGAACGTCGTTGGTTGTCAGGTTGTCGCTATTCCCGCGGTTAATTTTTTTTTCAGCGGCAATAATAAATTGGATTTTTTGTTAGGTTGCCTGCCCTGCCTTCAATAAACAACTTTTTTATTTTTAATTTCGTTTTTTGCGAAACATGCTTATGCACGAAGAAATGTGAATATTTAACTTGGCTGATAATGTATTTCATTACATCTATATTTTTTGACCTCGAAAATACGAAAACAAAACTTATATATGGGGAAGTTATAACTTTTAACTTGTATACACCGCAATAAACCTTACTTGCAAAAATTGTGTAAAATTAGTGTTCTAAGTAAAGCGAGACAAAAGTTTCTCCCAGTGCATCACCTGCAGCTTCATAAAGCGCCAAACCGGCCACACATGAAATTATTATTAAAGTTTGTCTGGTGCTCATGATAAATGTATTCAATTAAGCACAATTCCATTATTTTTCCATTTCAGGATTCTCGGTATAGTCTTCCTGATATTCGGCTTCATCACGCTAGTCGGCAGCCTGATATACTGCGTGGTGCTCTGCCGCGAGAATCCCTATCCCCGATACCCGGACGACTTCTACTGGACCCACCACTGGTCGAAGACCATAGGGCCGTCAGAGATCCACTACAGCGCAAGCGAGAAGCCGTACCGACAGAACGGCCACAGCGACCGCTACAACAAATACAACGGGAAATATTCCGATCGAGAGAGCGCTAAAGGCTACTCCGACAGAGAGAGCAAATTAAGCAGGTACTGAAGTGCCTAATAGCATACAATTTAATACTTGGGTACTGTGCCGCATTTAAAATTGTAATGTTGTCACAAATACCATTTATTTGTAAGTGTTTATATGTATTATGTGAGAGTTTTGGGTATTTCTTCCATTCTGTATCAGTTTGATAGGAAAGTTGGAAGTACAATTAATTATGCGTTCACCTGCTTTATTGAATATAGCGCCATTTTATATCAGCTGTAATCGTTTCAATATTCTATATGTATTGGGTTAAATCAATCCCGCTAGATGGCGCCATGACTAATCAAGACGAATTTATTATGAAAATTACCCTAATAATTTTGTATTAAAGGCCAAAATTAGCTCCAAAATAATATTTTCATTTAAAACAAAATTTGTTTTTCATTTAATGTTGTGACGACACAATAATATAATGTATGATAATAGCTTTACTAATACTAATAATTTGATGTAGTTATTAATAGAAATAGTTAAAAAATATAGAAGCAAATTACACTAAAAAAATTTAACTAGTGAAATTAACTTCAACGAGAAAACCTAAATATACCTAATCTTAGTACTGAATTGTTTAGTACTATTTAAATAATCTTGATACTTAACAGTTTTTGTAAATAATACTTTATAAATATATTTAAGTTACACTGAAGCAAATGCCATATTAAATTTACTTTTCTTTATTTAACGAGTTAGATTATAAATATTTCAATGTTTCATGTAGACGGAAGTGGAAGCATTTTTTGTCTTGAATTAATATTTAAATAATTTGATGTAAAATAATGTCGTAATGGCGTCGATAATATTTTAATAAAGATTTGTGTATTTCTTTGATCATTTTTTTTGCTTTTACCTAATTTGATAAGTTACTAGCCCAAGACTCCTATTGTACACCAAAAAAATATTTGTAAGGAGTCTAAAATCTTAGTCAAAGTAATTGTCAAAATATTTTTCTTATTATCATAATACATAATTTCCTTGTGTGTGATATACAAATTTCATCATAAAGAATTTTAATTTGAACATCGATTTACGAACGATTGACGGAAGTCAACAAGTCAAATCAATAAAAAAACTAAAAAGCGCAAAAAGTTTTGTCAGAAGTGGGATTCGAACCCACGCCCTCAGAGAGGACCAGAACGCCCAAACCCGTTCCGAACGGGCAAGTTTCCTTGAGTCTGGCGCCTTAGACCGCTCGGCCATCCTGACATTGACTTTGGACGGCGAAATTGCTGTATATAATTTAAAATGAAAAAAAGAATTTGTATTTTTGATTAGTGTTAGTATTCACTGACTTGACATTTTTAAATGATGATTAAAAATTTTAAAACAAATTAATTTTGTAATAAAATGTGTTTATCATGAAACTAATCATGGCATTACTGGATTGCCATTAGTGATTGCAAATGGCCTTTGACCCTGACCTGCTTGGTCTTCATCCAAAGACATGACAACATAAAAAATGAAGTATTAGTAATATTTTGTCGAGATTTCTAATATTGCATTTTTTTTATTCATGCATATTAAATTCAGGTATTGTAAATCTAATATATAAAATTCTCGTGTCACGGGGTTCGAACTTGAACTCCTCCGAAACGGCTCGACTGATTTTTACCAAATTTTATATGCGTATTCAGTAGGTCTGAGAATCGGCTACTATCTATTTTTTTCGTCCCCCTAAATGTTAAGGGGGTAGTCCACCCGTAATTTTTTTTTTTATTTTTTATATAAAACTTTTCGTTTCTATTTTTTTATGACACAGCATACAAAAATACATACAACCGTAATTTTCACCCCTCTACGCAGACGTAGTCGCGGGCAGCAGCCAGTATAAGTATAAATAATAGGATAATAAAATTATATGACATTAGCGACTCTAACGCGACTCCGCGAGAGAGTACATGACGACTCCGCCATTGTCACGCCCGTGTCCCCGAGTTTCCCTCAACTGTCCGAGTGTGTCTTCTAGTTCTAGGGTTTCTTTGAATAATTTTCGTCTTCGAGTTATTAAAATTACAAGTGCGCTGCCTTATCTTATCCTTTAAACGAGCAATTCTTGTATATATATATATATAATTGGAATCTCGGAAACGGCTCCAGCAATTTTCATGATATTTGGTATGTGCATAGATTCGGGGGCGAAAAATCGATCTAGCTAGGTTTCATTTTTAGAAAATGTCCTTTTATCCCTGTTTTCAGGGAATGAAAAATATAATTCGAATATGACGGTAAATTTCGCCGAAAGAGAAAATGTCATAATAGCTCAGTCGGTAATCGGGCGGCCCCAAAACAGACGGCCGTGGTTCGCGTCACGATCATTTACACATTTATTTTTTAACTTTTTTTTCGATTCCAGATCATTTCTTTCTTTATTTTTAATTTTTTGTCGATTTGTTATTTTGTATTTTTTTTTTTTCCTCTTTTTTTTAAGTTCTTTCTTTTGTGAAAAACATCAGTTCGTATTTTCTTATTATTACGTCGGTAAGATCGAAAAATATTATGCATATTTCATTACTCAGTTATTTGTATCAAAATGTAATTTCCAAAATACACGATTTACCAAAAAAAACAAACCGAGCAAAGCTCGGTCCTCCGGGTACTATATTATATGCGCAGATGTGACGATACGACACATGAGTATTGATCAGTTGCTGACTGTTGCTTTTGCTTAAATCATTGCCAAAAGCTTTTCACTCGAACAAAACACACTGCTTCGCCATATGAATTGGCTAGCCTATTATGACTCAAAGTTTAGATTAGTAGAACAAATACGTTATTTTGTTACAGAATAGCTGTTACTGTGACATATGTCTATATCTATCTATAACTTTCAATGGAATAATTGTTTGTAAGAAACGTTGCGCTACTTAATAACGTGACTAATATAATTAAAGATCCTGGTTAGCCCAAGTATTCTGCATTTGATGAAGCGTTGGTAGTCTACGGCAAAAACATCGGTAAGTAGTCTATAAAAGATCTTACGACACTATTTTTAGAAGATACTGTCGTTCTTTTCTATTTATCGTTTTCGTTTGTAATGTGTATAGAAAAGAAATCATGCACAGCTTGAAGAGGCAAGGCTTCTGCAAGGCTTTTTAATCTGTCCGTGAACAACCACGTGGTACGACTATGCGAATTCTTACTTGTCTTTCTAGACTACACATTTTATTAGTCACCTTTTTATTACAAACCCTCGAGTTTGTAACTTTTTAAAACAAAACTCCAACGCTAAACTGGTGTAGTCGTAAGGCATCATCATCATCAGTCTATTGATGCAATTATCTGCTTTCCGTAAAGACATAACCCCAAATAAGTCGTACTTTTTGTTTTTTTTTATGTGATAAGTTGTCAAGCGAGCAGACAGTTCACCTGATGTTAAGTGAAACCGCCGCCCATGAACATCAGCTATACCCAGGGGTTGCAGATGCGTTGACAGCCTTTTGGAAATTGGGCTCCGGCCACCTCACTCACCAGACGAAACGCGAAAGTATTATAGGTACTTCATTTACGCCGGTCTTCTGTGAGGCCGTGGTACTTACCCGGACGGGCCTGCCCATTCGTGCAACAGCCGAGGCTGCTGAGTCTACCACCCTACCCTACCACCATTGAAACCATGTAAAAGGTTGTCAAGCGAGCAGACCGGTACACCTGATGTGTTACTAATGCGGCGCTAACCTTTAAAAGTGGGCCCTCGTTACCTCACTCACCAGATGAAACAGAAATATGCTTCATCTTAACGCCGGTCCAGTGAGGTCGCGATACTTGAACTTAGAGGCGTGATATATAAAATTATATTCATCAATTATTACTCTGTTAATATTCACTTAAGGTAAAAGAAAACCACTGTCGTAAAATTGTTCATTTATTTACACGTTCATCAAACATGACGAATTTTGATATTAAAAAACATTAAAAAATGTCACTTGGAAATAATACATCGAATGTATTGGCTGCGATATCGTATTTGTTCCGTTATTTACGTTCAAACACTAATTGACAACATTTCGGTACAAATAATATTGATCCACTCAAAAAGAAATACGAAAATTAATGAGCTATCCTACAAAATCTGTTATATGTCAAATTATATGCGACATTTTGTTATAAGAATTGTCCTACAATTGCATATTACGTGGAATAAATACTGAATGTACTATATTAAAATAATGATTTAATAATTGGAAATGAAAATATAGGCGACAATAAATACAAAAACAAAAAAAACCATTAGCAGAACGCAGAAGCGAAAAAGAAAAAAGGTATAGTGAAAGCAAAAATAAGAGAAGAATGAAAAACTCATTGAAACACTATGTACAAATTAAGTTCAAAGAAAAATTTAAGTTATATCCTAGATCTTAATTTCCATTTGAAGAGTGTAACGGTCTTTCGAACTTGACCGTACCAGCTCATAAAAATTATTCTAATTAGGTACTAATCTTATAAAAAAATCATTTAAAATTACTTAACAGTAATTGTGCCTAGTATATGTAAAATGTATGAGATTACAATTTCTCATAACTTCAATAGTTTCCTTCCATGGCCATGAAAACGTCCCATACTAATAATTAATAAAAAAATAAACTTTCAAATTATTTAAGTGTCCATTTATAAAAACGGATTGTTCTCCTTGCGTCTTCTTCTAAAGTGACGTCACTCGCCGTTTAGTCCCAACGGATAACCACCGTCAATAATTCTTCTAATATACAAATTTACTTCTGAAACATAGAACATAATTAGATTGATTTTTTTGAATTTGTTTTAGAGATATTGTACATGTTCATAATAAACACATTTTGAAGTATATATTATAGTACTCTATTAATATTGCACATTGAACTTTAGAAAGGAACAATGGGCCACTTTTGGCTTCGTAGAGCCCTATATTATCTTTGTCGCTCAAAGAACTAACAAAAAGACAGCCAATGGACAACAAGTTCAGGAAGCTACAAGTTATAAAAAAATAATAAATAAAATTTCACATTCATACTGTCAATGTATAATACAGTGACTAAATACTGTCGCCAAAGAAATTTTTTACAGATCGAGTTAGAGCCTGTGAGAAATAATTATTCATTAATTTTTAAATTTAACCAATATACAACAATTAATTTGCGAAAAACAATTGTGTAGCACATGACATTCTTATCGGACAATAGAAGTATTGAGTTATATGTATTAAGTTATACTTCTTTAGTGTAACAAAATAAACATAATCAAAAAATTCAGCCCTAGTGGCAGTGCTCTGTTTGTGATAAATAAAACCGTTTAAAAACTTTAAAGTTAAACGGTTTTATTTTGGGTGCACTGAAAACTACAATATTGTATTGTCATCTAAATTAAATGTGTGTACCAAATTTCAGATCAATCTGACAACGGGAAGGTGCTTAAATATCAATTTCTAATTTTGACCCAAATAAATAAATAAATTCCGTACGGGTCGAGCTAAATAAAACCATTTAAAAACAGTGAATTGGCAACATTTAAGAACTTGGAATTGTAGGTAAATGTCAAAAAGTTGCTATTGTTTGCCATGGTAACACCATGGTATATGGTAAAACCATAAAGTTGGTGTCACTTTTTGGTGCTGCGCATTAAAAATTCACTCTCGTCGTTTTTCCCAAACGCGAAAAAATAAATATAACAAAAACAATCTGTTTTTACAACAGCCGTAACTAAGTGAGATTTATCACAGAAATTATTGATTACAAAGAATAATAAGACCAATATTTTTTACATACATAACTGATTTCAGTCCTCAAATTAGGGCTAGCCAGATGCGTCCGTTAGTTATGGCATGTCTCCTACGGGCCATCTAGGGGATTTATTGTACTTTCCTTTAAAAAACATTGCCTCCTTTATTTATATTACATTTACTGTACATACATAAATTAGCAACAATCAGTGGGTCACACGAAAATTTGTCTAGTGCGGAAATCGAACCCACCCCCGTCGGCGACTGCGCCACGGAGTCATCAACAATTAGATGGGAAGTCGGAACCGCACCTGTGACGGGGCGGAGCCCTATTCGCTGTCGGAGCCGTCGCTGAAGCGGTAGGCGTTGCGCGCTCGGGCCGCGCCGCGGGCCGGAGCCTCCTCCTCCGAATCGCTATCCACCTTCTTCTTCAGCTTCTTCTTCGGGTTCGTCTTCTTCTTGTCCTGTCACATCCTCTCAATATTTACTTACAGCCAGTAAATCAAACAAGTAGATCGCATTAATTATCCTCCATACCTAGCCTAGTGTTGTGTCAGTTCTTAAGGCATTTAATGTAGAAATATTTTGGAAATAATTTGTGTTTGTACAGCCAAATTATATCCAATCGCTTTTGTTTATTCAATATTATTTTGACGACCCAATTGGCGTAGTGAATAGTGACCCTATCTCTAGCGCCAGAGGGCGCGGGTTCGTTCCCCACTAGTGGAAAAATATTGGGCCATGAACATAGTGTTCTTCTCGTTTCTGGATATTTATACATCTATTTTACGTCTTGCTTCGCAAATGAAGGTATGTTTAAGTATGTTCATTAGTTACTGAGTAGTTTGGGGCTAGATACCGATGTGTAATAAATATTGAATTATTTATTTATGTGGGATCATAAAGGAGGGGGGCTGTTAAGCAATTAAGAGTGAGATTAATCTCAGAGTAACCTTTTTGCTGTCGAATATGCTGTCTTCGTCGCTGTCTCCGCTCATGAGAGCCTTGGCGGGCCTCTTCTTCGGCTTGTCCTCTTTCTTCTCCTTGTTCACGTTCATGAGCTTCCTTTTCGGGGCCGGTTTCTTCTTGGGGGGAGATTCCGGCACCGTCTCTTCTTCCTCGTCGCTCGAGAGAACGGTCGCCGGTTCAGGGTGATGATTGTTCTTCTCCACTTTCTTCGCGTCCTCAATCAACGAGTCGAAGAGGCAATCTGCAGGTGAAGTAAAAAGTAAAATAACAGCCTATATATATTCAAATGCTGGGCAAAGGCCTCCCCTGTACAGAGGATATCGAGGCATAGTCCACCGCGCGGCCACACTGCGGACCGGCGCACTTCACATTTCTTCGAAATACTTTTGAGCTATTTTGAGAATATGCAGGTTTCCTTACGATGTTTTCCTTCACCGCTGATCAAACACGTCAGCACTCAAATTTAACACTTTCATTGGTGCCGACACTGGGATCGAACACAGGTTGCTCAAGTATATTGAAATTAAAGCGAGCGCCCAGACAATTATACAACAGGATATATTTTCGGAACGTAATTCTATCGGAATTGTTACCAGAAATGCTTAAAAGTTAGCTTAAAACACTTTTAACAGTTATGATGTAAAGAAAGGAAGAAAAAAACCATTTCCTGCACAAACACGCCACACATAAGGATTGAACAGTTCAGACATCTTAGGTAAGTACATTGAATAAATAAATTTTGACTTCGACTTTGACTAAAGTCTTACCGGAGTCCATCTCGGCAGGTTTTTTTCCAGAGTTTTTCTTTACGTTAAAGTCATCCTCGTCGTCGCTGATTGAAAGTGCGCGAGCGTTTCTCCGTGTCAGAGCCCATCTTGTTATCGTGCAGTTCCAACTCGTCATTAGACTCCGACTCATCTGAGCCATCCTTGTACTTTTGTACCTGAAATTAAGGAATGTTACATTAACCCAAAAAGCACATTTTTTTTTTTTTAATGTGAAAAGTTGCCAAACGAGCAGACGGTCCACCTGATGTTAAGTGAATACCGCCGCCCATAGACATCTGCTACACCCGAGGGTTTGCAGATGCGTTGACAACCTTTTTGGAAATTGGCTCCGGCTACCTCACTCACCAGACGAAACGCGAAAGTATTTGTCATACTTCCACTTTACGCCGGTCTTCTGTGAGGTCGTGGTAGTTACCCGGACGAGCCTGCCCATTCGTGCAACAGCCGAGGCTGCTGCGTGGCTCTACCACCCTTAAATAATAAACATATTTGTTTATTGTTGTTAACAAATCAATTAACTAACTGTGAGGGCCACGAAACAGTATTCGCTGCTGCATGAATAGGCAGGTCTGTCTGGCTGGTGCAATGAACCTGCAACCCATCGGGCGTTGCAAATGTCTACGGGCGGTGGTGCTCACTTAACATCAGGTGAACTGCCAGCTCGCTTGACACATTATTATATAAAATAGGTAACAGATGTAAATAATTTTTCTTACATAAATATGTTTGTTAATTTAATTATCATGCAAATGGTATAACCTTAACAGCAGCTCTTCTGGCATTAGGTCTCTCCCTTGGTGCTGGGGGTTCAATCATTTCTACATCAGACTCGGACATCTCTCCAGAACTGCTGCCGCTGAAGGTCATCCTCTTCTGCAAGTAATAGACAGGCAAATAGGTTATGGATTTTTGTACACTTTACTTAATCCTGAAACAATTCTCTTGGATGTATCAAAACTATGAATTCTAAGCATTTACACATGTTTATAATGTATTGTTATGGCATATATAATTACTCAATCTCTAGACCTATACACAGTGTAATACTCAGTAATTTCTCTCTCCCACGCAAACTCTCTGCTTCACTGACTCTCTCACTCACTCCACACATGTGTGTGTGTGTACACACGGCACGCGCAAAGATTATATTTCTAATTAATTCTTAAGATAGTATTTTAGTTAATGTAGTTTTAATTATCCATAAGAGCAGTAGCCGGTTATTCCCATTACAAGTCTCTATGACAACTTACTGGGAAAACTCAGCAACAAATTGTATCAAGAATTATAGAAATAAATGAGTTTTTGTGAACTTTTTTATATAACCATATTTTCATATAATGCAGAGTGTAGTTTGTTTGCAAAATGGTGTTAGACAAAAACTACTTAAAGGAAAAGTGAAATGATAAGCTCCAGTTGATGTAATGTTGTACCCAACGGTAGAGTTACGTTGTTAAATATTCACCTTCTTAGGTTCCTTCTTGAATGTGAGTTTAGTTTGTTTAAGCCCATCGGTCTTTTCGGGCACCTTTTTGTCCTTCTCCGGCTTCTCTTTCTTGACGCGCGACACTTTCGGCTTCTTCTCACCACTTGATGGGCTAATTCCCGTAGGATCATCCTATTTATTAAAATTTGCATTATATAAATTTCATTTCTTTAAACATAAAAAAAAATGATTGAATTATTGCAGTGAAAGGAAATGGAACACTTGAGTTGTAGAAAAAAACAGAATTTGAAAAAAAAATCTACTACGCAAATGAAAAACAAAATATCTTCCATTTTAAAGTTATGTTCTATGAGAAAATTTTACAATGTATAGCTTTTGTAATATTCATACTACTTACAGGATCATACTCCTTTTTGATTTCTTTCCTCGTCTTTGCCTTTTCAGCAGCCTGGATCCTCTTAATCAGATCTTCAGATATTTTGGGCTCTACTCGTCTGCCATTATCTGACGGAATTATGTCCAAAAGTGACTTGCGGTTCTTCTTGTTTGCCGCCTATAAAATAAAGTTTTTAATATTTAAAAGAATAAAAGCTTCACACTTCATTTCATTTGTCAGTGATGGAAGTCCATACAGGTTTGCACATGATCATTCTCTTGTCTTTATCGAAGATAATTAATAAGAAAATTATACATTCATGGATATTATTTTTAGAGCCTATAGTGTGAATATGAGAATAATATTGTGCGGCTTTGGTGTTCGTGTAAACAGCGCGAAATAGCAACAGTTTATGGGTATAAAAGCGGTAACACCAAGGGCGGACCCATTTCTTCATTACCAGATTTTATGTAGTCGTATTGGTTATAATATTCTTTATTCCTCTTCTCCGCACGCTGGCTCCACTTCAATGACAAGTAGCCTAAGACGGGACTATCGGGACACGGGTTAATAATAATATACAGCGTGTCGTTTCCATCGCGACAATAAATGAATACACAAATAGGGGATAACTTTTTAAAGTTGTATTAAACATTTAAATTCTTTAAACATCGATATTTACAGAGTTATTAAATTTTCCAAAACAAAGAATTTTAGAACATCCTCACCTATAAAAGCGTAACGTAAAGTTCATTTCTAAAGGTCACAAAGCATATAAATGGGTTGAATGAATTTAAGAGACAAAACATACTGTTAGAAGGAGAGGCTTGTAATGCGACGCTGTGGCGCGAGTTGTATAGGATGTTCCAATTTTTTTTTCTTTTTTACTTAATTAGTTTGTTTGAAAATTTATTTTTTTTAATTATGGATTTTGTTTAACGTTAATATTTTTTTATGATTATTGGCAAGTAGCTTTAGACGTGTATTCATTTATTGTCGCGATGGTAACGACACGCTGTATATGACGAAGGTATGCCCCAAAATACCTACATAAAAAATTTTAACATCCGAATTGATAACCTCCTTCTTTTTGAAGTCGGTTAAAAATAAGTACCTACTTTTTACTTGTATCTATGAATATAAAAATTAAATTATAACTTCTTATCACTTGACTACGACTACGTGACCCCCCCCCCCCCCCCCCCCCCCTGGCACCAAAGCTGGATCCGCCCTTGGGTGACACCCGGTAAAATGATTATTATTGATGATTTGATTATTTTTTTATTGTTTTCAAACCAATAATATTTTTGTATTACTTCAAAATACTTTCATATAACAGCAGTCATTTTATATAATTTTTATCTGTTAATTAATTTGTGTAGATTAATAAATATATATAATCTTCAAATAAATATTTTAATAGACAACCTTTTTAAAAAAAATATACAAGTAAACAATAAGTGGGGAGTATACTAAAAAAACACAATAATTACCTTTGATCTTTCCATCTGAATGATTGCAAATATAAAAAATACATATTACTTAATAAAATTCTGATTATAATGTGAACTATTCAATGTTTTAATTGTTTGAAACATTGCCTTTACTGTAGGATAACATTATCCTTTTTTGCAAGGTTGGTTTTACAAACATGTATAATGTGGACACCCATCCACATCTGAAAGTCCCACAGCTGGCGTCTGTACAAACGGCATTAGGGCATAGTCACAATATTTTCCTTCCACGAGCATGTGACAATTCAGCATTCAGAACTAACAATTTCATGGTTGTTTGTGTATTGTATTTAAAGTTAGCGCCAATAGACAATTCCTAATATACAGCGTGTCATTACCATCGCGACAATAAATGAACACACATATAGGGGATAACTTTTTAAAGTTGTATTAAACTTTTAAATTCTTTAAACATCAATATTTACAGAGTTATTAAATTTTCCAAAACAAAGAATTTTAGAACAGCCTTACCTATAAAAGCGTAACGTAAAGTTCATTTGTAAAGGTCACAAAGCATATGAATGAGTTGAATGAATTTAAAAGAGACAAAACATACTGTTAGAAGGAGAGGCTTGTAATGCGACGCTATGGCGCGAGTTGTATAGGATGTTACAAATTTTGTTTCTTTTTTACTTAATTAGTTTGTTTGAAAAATATTTTTTTTAATTATGGATTTTGTTTAAAGTTAATGATTTTTTATAATTATTGGCAAGTAGCGTATGACGTGTGTTCATTTATTGTCGCGATGGTAACTACACGCTGTATATTAGGAATACAGTTCTATCAGAATAGATACCAGAATTGCTTAAGAAAAACACATAATTTAACAGTAATGATGTAAACAGACAGCTCTTGATGAAGTATGTTGGTATTTCGATAATTAATGAAGGGTCTTACCAGCGCCTTTGAGCTCTTCTTGTTAACAGTGTTCTCATCATTTCGCTCCTTTTCTTCAACCTCCTCCAGCCGGACCAGGAAAATGTCCAAATCTTCTCGCCACAACATAGACGGCGTTTTCGCTCTAGGGATAATTGGAAATATTTTTTTTTTATTTATACTTTTACTTTAAGACAAACTTAATAATAAGCTTTATCACTTTTATTGTTATTTCTTTACACATTTCATAGATTTGATGGACTATGCAAACACACATTGCCCAAGATCAACAGTGTTTGTAGTTTCAAGGAATTTAAACCCTTTGAGATTCATTAGAAAAAATACTTTTACTTGTTTTAAAAAACGTTTACTACTTTAATATTGTGTTCTATTCAAATTATTCGCCAATATCTCGGGACAGATGCATAATGCAGATTCATTGTTTAATTAGGTGTAAGTAGACAAGAGAGACTGAAATGGTTATGTATATGGACCAGATTAAGCAAACAAAAATTCGCCCGAACACTTACTTGAGGGTGTTAAGTTCAGAGAGTTTTTGATCTCGCTGCTTAAGTAACTCATCCTTTTTCTCTTTTGTAAGCATCCACATGGACATGCCCAGGAGGTAGTTGAACTTCTTTACTTCCTTCAGCTGTTGGAATGCTTTCTCTGAAAAGGAAATCAATTACTTATTTAATTAGGCTTTTTAACTGTTTTGATTTAAAAAAATGTATTTATTAATAGAGTAATTATAATTTGTATAACATAATTAGATATACTCAGAACCTCACAAAACAGACCATGCCTATTTTTGTAAACAAAAATAATTTACAACATTTTTAAATGAAATATCTTTATTGCCCCTACCCACATGATATAATTTTGATTTAATTGATAAATATGGATTGATATAATTTTTTTATTGTGTATTACTCATCAATTGTATATTTTTAAAGGTTCTAGATAAATATAAATACCTGGATCCACAGGTTTGCCTTTATTGTCCTCTGGCTCGGGCTCTTCTTCAGACTCCGGTTCCTCCTCTTCCAAAGCCACCAAGCCCTGCATTTTGCTTGCGCGTTTCTTCCAGTCGGCGATAGGGTCCGGTGCGTAACCTAAAGGTTTTCATTACAATTGTGAAAATATTGCAAACATTGACATGGATAAATAGAGTCATATATGCATTCGTCATAATGGGCGTGTTTACTAATTAATTATGTTATTACATACACCATTTTACAAAAAGACATTGGTAGCTGTACTAACTTATATAAATAATATCTATTAGGAATAGGTGACATCCACAAACAATTAAGTGTAAATAATTTCAAACATTTTGTAAAAGCCACCTTAATGGAAAGGGCTTATTATAATGTCGAGGAATACATTGTGTGTGGAAATGACTCTTGCTCTGCACTTGCAAGTCCCCTGGCTCCTGATAATTATACCAAAATAATTTTGTGTGTATACTAAAATACTTAAAAAAAAATAAAAAAAAAATATACATATATGACCGCAGAGTTTCTTGCCGGTTCTTCTCTTGCAGGTCCAGTTTAGTGAGCCGGTGGTAGTTTTTGACGTCCAATAAGAGCTTAAAATAAGCCTATGTTGAATAAAGAAATTTTGACTTTGACTTTAATTAGAAGACACTCATATTATTGAAGATATAATGCCAAAATAGTTTATTTTTGTACATGTCAAAAAACAAAATGTTGGTTTTAAAAAATGCTGTCAATGTGATTTCCCCTTCAGATATTAAAGACATTAAAGATTTGGCAGTATGTAACACTTAGCAGTTATTTGTGTTTGTTTCAGGCACGCAACTGTCTAGACTGTTGCTAGAATGAGCAGGTCCGTCCGGAGAAGTACCACGACGTCACAGAAGACCAGCGTGAAGTGGAAGTGAAATACTTCCGTTCGTGGGAACGCAATTGCAACCCTTTGGGTGTTGCAAATGTCCTTGGACGAACTGCCAGCTCGTTATCAGCTTCACATTAAATTTATATATAATAATTAATAAAATTTACACAACGGATTCTCTCATTCACCTCTCTTAATAAGCTCTTCCACCATCACTTTCCGCTTTTTGTTTTCAATCACCAGCCCCTTGTCGCACTTCTCCAATATGAAGCGTGCCTGGTTGGTGAGTTTGTCCGCCTCCGCTTGTAACTGCCCCTCTAGATAGTCTTTGCGTCTCGAGTAGTATTTCAGACGTAGGTCGTAAAATTCGCGAAGGACTTCTTCAACCTTGTCATATCTGTAAAAAGGTCAAAAGAAAATTATAAATTTTTTTTAATCAAAGAACTCACCCATTTGTGCAACTCATCCAAAGTGAAAAACTTACCACCTGTCATGTTTTAGTATATAATAATGTGAGTAGCCCACTGTCAGAAAAAAAAAATACAGCTCAAATAATATAATGTAGACAGTTTGTCTATGAATAGACAAATGTAGTCCTTTATAGTGCCAAATTGCCAAAAGATTTGGGAGATAATGAGCTATGGCAATCCTTGTTAATATAACTGTAGATTTGATACAAGCTCTAAGTAATAAACAAAAGCGAAACTTACTTCCTTAGGCAGTTATTATGGTCGAAAGCATTCATACACGTCATAGAGATTGTCGTCTGCAGTTTGAAAACTTTGTGTATGCCCTCAGCTTCAACTTCAGCCAACTTGCCTGGCAGCAGTGTGACCACAAAACGCACTGTAGTATCCGTGTTATATTCCTGACAGACAGTAAAAAGATTAATATACATAAATTATACAAACATTTTTGTATGATGTTATTTAAGTTCTAAGATGTAAGTTAAGTTTATTGACTTTTTATCAACTCGGGAGGTTTTATAACAATTACGCCCGGGTTCTGAAACACTGATCATCGTAGATGTCAACTAATCAGCAGTCAAATGGCTTTTCAAATGTCATTTGAGTGGCCAAAAGGATGGTTAACTCTTTGATTTGATCATTCCGATCATTAAAAAAGTCATTCCGGTCAATTCAGAGAGTTTAACCATTCTTTTGGCAACTCTATATCAGCAACATATTGAAAATATCAGCTTGTAAGAACTATTTCATTCCCTTTATATTTAAGCCTTGATAGCTCAGTGTCTGATCTTGCCTTCAATTCAATTTACTTGAGCAACCTGAGTTTCATCCCCGGTGCTGACACCAATAGAATTGTTAATTTTAAGTGCAGACTTATCACATGCTCAGCAATGAATGAAAAATATCGTGAGAAAACCTGCATATTTACGAAATAATACAAAAAAAAATATATTTCGATGATATCTTAAGTCCGCCAATCCGCAGTGGGGTCGCATTGTGGACTATGCCCTGATACAGAGCCCCCTCATTACAGAGGAGGCCTTTGCTCAGCAGTGGGACATTAATGGGCTGTTACTTGACTTTTATACTTAATACTGGTGAAAATATACAGCTATTAGCAGTAGCTTAAAACTTTATATGTTCAATATATAGCAATAAAAATACTTACTCTATATTCGGATATGAGTGGTTTCGCCTTATCGTTGCCAAGCATGGGCTCCAAAACATTCTCTTTGTAATTCTGAGTCCATACGCCGACTGGAAGCTCGGTGATCTCTATCTTTTCTCCAGGTAATACTGCTGCTTCTCCAGATATGACATATTTATCACCAAATCCCTCAATCGTACCGCGGAAGTTTTTATACCATGGATGCATTGTTTTAGGCTCCTCACCGTCTAACATGCGTCTATAAACAAGTAAATCAAAATAAATAATACTGTTGCTATACTTCAATAAATAAATAAAGTTTAAAAAAATCACGATTCTATAGATAACCAAACTATAAAGTAGAAATAATTCAATAAATTGAAATCAAGAGAATGTCAATTGTTATATTTTAATGATAAATATTGGTAAAAGTTTTAGTTATTATGTACGCATTGAACTATAATTAATTTTCTATCTTTTAGTTCTGCTGACTACAAAAGCGTTTTTTTAAACTTGTTTTAAACATTTACTTGGCACAGACACTGCCAAGTACAGGATTTGGAAAATCGCTAATCCTGAAGGTCCTGATGAAGATAATGCGGCAAACTATTTAATTTATTGCATTGTCATTGGTCAGGTGCAAAGTTTCATTTTAATTCGATGTTTTCAACTGGATCAAAATCACGTTCGAAGATTCAGTTAAATTCATGCCAAGCTAATAAAATTGTGTTGTATAGGGGATTTAAAGTATATTTCAATTCAAACATTTTGGCGAACGTACCTTATGTTAGCTACAATATCCCGCGGATTGTAGTTGGGTATCTTAGTGGACCAGCCAGTTCCAATACCTTCAGCTCCATTAACAAGTACCATAGGCAATATGGGGACATAGTGCACAGGTTCGATTTTTTGATTATCCTCAAACTCATGCTGTAATATACAAATAATTAGATTAATAAAATGTACAAAACTTAACACCAGTAAACATTTTCTTTTACCAAAAACGATTGAAAAGCATGAAAAATTGAAATGCGTTTTGATGCATATTCATTGATAATTTTAATCAGATTCTTCAATATTTAGATTCTAACTTCTAAAGTTGTACACTGCCGTCTTCATTCTAAATCTTTGGAACTTAGAATCTACGGTACATTATCTAAACTAACTGGCAATGCTTTTACTTACAACAAGTAGTGGATCGTCATGTGGATGAAAGATTAGCCTCGTGAGTGGCGACATTAAAGTAAAAATGTAACGCGGGCTAGCAGAGTCTTTGCCTCCGCAGAGCCGCGTACCAAATTGACCACGTGGCTCCAACAAGTTAATGTTATTCGAACCAACATAGTTCTGGGCGAGATTTACAATTGTCATTGCAAGCGACTGTTCACCTGTGAGGACATAAATTTATTTAATTTTATAAGGAAAACTTACAGCTATTAAGTACTTATTTAAAAAAGAATAATATAACATATATAAAGTGCCAATTACATGTTTCCACCTTTAGTAATAAAATTTGATTTTTTCCATTACAGATACTTACTTTTAATTATTTAATATCTTTTAGTTTTAAATAATTGTATTTTATAACTAATTTGTATATGATCCCAGTGATAATAAGTCACCACCAACTTTATGAGTACTTGGAAAACAAAATTAGGACAAAAACCATCAAATGTTTTTCTTTTATGTTTTAGACAAACTTATTTTTAGTTGAATACAAGAATATACATTAATTTTAAAATTAACAAAAATATAGAAGATATTCGAGATACAGATAATAATTATATATCACATGTAAAATAAATGTTCACAAACCATGATGGTAAGCCGAGTGCTCAGCAACAGAACCAGCCAGCTGTGCTACTTTGACCTCCCGTTTGTCATTACGCTTTATGCACGTGAAGATCACTTTACGTTGGCCAGGTTTTAAGCCATCAACCATGGATGGTATTGATCTGTAATCATAAAAGCATAAAATAAAACATTCAGCTAGTATGTTGTAGTTAAACATTAAAAAGTAAGCATTTAACTTGTCTTTATTTCCTGCTTGTTCAATATTTTGCTTTATTTATTGTTGCCTGTCAACTCACCTCACATTATCTCCATTTGAAAAGAGAACCAGCTCCAAATTAATAAAATCAGAGTATGTGACAGCTTTTGTTTCTTTCGTGTATAAATATCGTTCAGAGAGGCCAATCTCCCTTCGCCTCTTGACTTCGTCCATATGATTAGTTAACCATTCTTTACGTTGGTCTGCCCCCTTCTTTGAAAACGCTAGCTCAATGTGGTGGTCATCAGTGGGACCGCTGTACCTAAACTTAATTCTATGCCTTTCCATATTCTGGAAATACTCTTTAGCCTCCTTGGATGTGGAGGTACCCAAACCTTTGTAGTATTTTATATTGTATGTGTGATGGTTCTCAGTTTCCCTCTTCCATTCCTCAAATTCTGGTAATGAATAGAATGATATTTCTTTGTCCTTCTTTGTAGCTTTCACGATGGGCGTAATAAATTCCTCCAAAAATGGCAATTTTAATAGTTCAGGCCAGTTGTGGTGGATGAAATTGATGATCAGACCTTTGATATGTGAACCGTCCTGATCTTGATCAGCCATAATCATCACTTTACCGTACCTCAGTGTTTTGAGATCATCCACGCTATTATACTTCTTTTTGTATTGCAATCCAATAATTTTGATCAGATTATTTATTTCAACATTCTCTAGAACTTGCTTGTGTGATGCATCACGGACATTAAGTGGTTTACCCTTTAACGGGAAGACACCATAATGATCTCTGCCAACCACGCTGAGTCCAGACACAGCCAAAGTTTTGGCTGAGTCTCCCTCAGTAAGAATTAGAGTACAGAGATGTGAATTCTTAGTACCAGCGTCATTTGCATCCTCTAGCTTTGGTATACCTTTAAGTTTACTCTGCTTTTTACCTGATGCTTTAACAAGTTCCGTCTGTGCTTTGAATTTAGCCCATGTCAATACAGACTCAACCAAACCGGATTTGGTAACTGCATTGATAAATTTCTCAGAGAAATTACATTTCGATCCAAAGCTCTTTGCTTGGAGAGTCATATTTTCTTTTGTTTGTGAATCAAAGGTTGGGTTAACAATAAGGCAATTGATAAACACCCACATGTGATTTTTCACCTGGAAAGGCTTTATGTTGACACCACCTTTGTTTTTCTTTTTCAGAACCTCTAAAACATTCTTAACTACACTATCAGCTACTGTGTCAACATGTTTCCCCCCTTTTGTAGTAGCTATAGAGTTTACAAATGAAACCTGTTGGAAACCTCTATCAGAAAGTGTGAGCGCCACTTCCCAACGATCATTCACCTTTTCATATACAACTTTCAGAGGTTGTCCATTCTCATCCTCTTTACCTTTAATGTACAAGTCTACATAGTCTTTAAATTTGTTAATCTTTAGTCGTTCCCCATTTAAATACACTTTAACTCCTTGTGAGGAAGCAGCCACGTCATATGCGCGTCGCGACATTAACGCGACAATGTCATCTTCAAGTCGCTCCATTTTAAATTTAGCCAAATCTGGGCTAAATGTCACCTTTGTGAAGTCGTCATCTTTACCAGACTCCTTAACCTTTGGTTCGGATGCCTTTGTCATATTAGAACCCCAAGTCTGTTTAAAATGTTTCTTATATTGTTTAGATGCAGTCTCAACTGTAAATTTTGTGGAGAAAATATTACAAAGTTTAGCACCATAACCATTCCTTCCACCAGTAACTTTTTCCTCTTCATCATTATAGTTTGAAGATGTCAAAAGATGCCCAAATATCATTGTGGGCACATACATTTTCTCCTCTTTATGCATAACAACAGGAATACCACAACCATTGTTGTACACTGAAATTGTGTTCTGTTCTTGATTTATGTCAATTCTTATTACATCCATTTTAGCATCTCTCTGTTTATTGTCAGCTGCATTTACAAGGATTTCATCATATATTTTGTACAAGCCTGTAAACATAAACATTGGAAAATTTTGTTGGCAAAACTGTTAATTAAGTTCATAATAAATGGTTAAAATATTTCTACATCATAAATTTTCTATGACGTAATTTCAATGACTATTTCTATGAAGTAATTTCAATGACTATATCTGAAGAAATGTACAAAGAAAATTTGATATTTTTATGTTTAATTTATATTTAAAAGCAGATATATACCTGGCACATATGTCAGTTCCTTCTGCACCATACACTCCTTTTCTTTGTCAAATACCCACATAGTTTCAGTGGCCCGCTCAACAGAACCAATATATGTATCAGGTCGAAGAAGGATATGCTCTAATTGAGACTTCTTTTGATATATCTTTTCAATTGAGCCCTTCTGACCCTTGGCAGTAGGGGCCACCTCCGCATTGCCATTCATTGCAGATTGCATTTTACTTATCATTGCCTGAAAGAACATACATTTTAGTTATTACTCCTCTAAAAATATGCCATATGAAATGTTTATTGCTCTAATCAGTAAGCATCCAATATTCATTATCATTCTGTCCAGTATGCAGAAGGATTTACCTAAACAGTAGATAGTCTATTATTTTATGAATAGAATGATGAGTATAAGAGTAAGTAAAATATTATCAAGTTATTTTATAAACATAATAAATTGATAATGATTACAATTTCTATTATTACTATCTAAAATTACATATTAATAATTGATAATTCTAAATTATCATAATTGTTAAAATGGTCGTATTTTTTTGGACTATTCTTGAATATAAAACTCGTTAAAATTGCCAATTAACAACAATTACATTTGGAATAAACAAACAATTCTGAAATGCATTTTTAATATTTTAATTTATGTACAATAACAGTATTATTATTTTCACATTACAGTACAAAGGGATGAAATCATCAAAATATTATTATAGAATGGCATAGTTAGCATATGGAAAAAAACAAGCATAACGGCCGTTACTGATCAAAATGCCGCCAAGACCAGTCAGTATAGTAGCACTTACCTTTATATCAGCCATCTTGTACGTTGTACATATATTACTAACACAGTTAAGGTTTAGTGTTTTTCTTCTTCTTAGGAATATAATGTTGTTAATATTAATTAACCTGCCTTTCGTGAAACAACATTTTTACTTTCGCAAGCTGAAATTAGCGGCTGCGACGATGTACCTAATTTGACAAAGACGCCGTGGATATAGACAAAAAATAAATAACACGGCAGTCGGGACCCTAACATTTTTTCAGCCTTGACGAAAATTGAAAACCTCTAAAATAAAAATATCATGTAAAATACCATATAAATAGAAAATACAATGAAATATTATGCTATTATTTTAAAACAATTCATGAAAACTTTTGTAACACGACTAATAACACAATTTATATAATAATAATATTTAATTTATACTTAAATTGCAATGGATGTACCTAATGACTGAATGTAATTACTTGACATTTTTTTTTTCAGTAATTTTTTTGTAAAATAGCTTGAAAATCTGTCAAGATCATTCCGTAATCTTCAACATCACAGATCATATAAAAAAAAATAGTATCTGATGATACTACATGGTATGCTGATAGTACGCTGATGCGTACATGAGAAAAAGGGAGTGTTGAAAGAAATTAGTAATATCAAACAAATAAATATTAAAGAGTAGGGGACCTAATAGGGAGCCTTGAGGAACCCCTTCCACTATATACGATGGAATTAAAGCTTTGTCCGAACAGTAACTACCACTTTTCAAACCACTGAGACCTATTTCTTATATAATAATTAAGCCACCTCGGCAGGTCTCCATGAATTCTTCAATTTTCTAACTTTGTAAGTAGTAAGATGTGATCGATTCTATAGAAACATTTGGAAAAATTGCGATGAAGTGCGTTAAGGTACATATATTTGCCTTCGTGGATCTTTGACGCATATAGCCATGTTGTTCACTGGAAATAAACGAGGATACGTGAGAATAAATGGTACCATAGACGAGACTTTCAAAAACTATGTTTGTTTAATAATATAATCCAAGGGGATTGCAGCACTTCTGGATTTTCCTTCGTCAGTGGAATTCTGCTTCGTCGCAAGACCTGTGTATGACTATAGAAGACCGTAATTAGTAGCCTAATTGTGTATTACAACTCGGATGCCACACTTAAGTCTTAATGATTGTCACGTTGTGACTTGGTTATTGGAATCGATATCTCCCTATTATTATTTCGATTATCCGTTCTATTCCAAGACAAATTGTCTCTGGCCCGTCTCGAATTTCCGACCCAAAATGGATGCCAAAAGTGAAATATATCGATATTTCTAAAAATATCATTACCGGCATCGATATATCGAAGAGAAAATATCGATATACCGCTGCTGTTCGGTGATGGATCGATGGTCCTGTTGTCCAAAAAAAAAAAACGAATGCCAAGTATTAAATATTTGTATGTACGGTCTCTGTCCCGGATTCGAATTAGAAAAAAATATTGTTTTTGATACGGTATTGATATTGACTATTTTATGTCGTTATATGGGATCAAACTAAACAGGCTCAAATATCTATATATCAATATTATTTCGGCATCACTAACCCGAATGCACTCTGAACACTCTGAAGATAAAAGAATATTAAATTCTTAAGCATTATAAACTTAAAGTGACTATTATTTTTAATTGTTCATTCTTTAATTGCAGGTGTGTCAGAGAAAACTATAACAAGAATTACAAAAGAAGGTATAACAGCGGCGAGTACTTCGAAAAAAAAAAAATGTCACCCCGGGGAAGAGTCGCCCGCATCCGAAAAAGTTCGACTTAGACGGGTTCGATTTGTGCGCTATCCGGCAAAAAATTCACAGTTTTTACGTTATGCATAAAGAATTACCAACTTTGGCTAAATTACGAGCAGCTTTTAGAGAAGACATCAATTTTCAGGGAAGCATCACAACATTGCACAGGATATTAAATAGGATTGGTTTCAAGTACAAGCGATGTCAATCCAGACGCAAACTACTTATGGAACGTCACGACATTACCGCATGGCGTGCAAGATATTTGGATAAAATACGAATAAATCGCACTGTGGAAAAACGACCCGTTGTATACTTAGATGAGACCTATATACACAATACTTATCATACAAAAAGTTGTTGGCAGAGTGAGGAGGAGCCAGGAATGTTCGTCTCAGAGTCCAGGGAGTCGCTGGATAATCGCTCATGCGGGAACAAAAGATGGATTACTAAATGGTGCATTATTAATGGTTAAATCCCAATCAAAGTCCTCAGATTACCACGATGACATGAACTCTGCAAATTTCTTAAAATGGGTGACGGAAAAATTAATACCTAATCTACCTGAAAGGTCGCTTGTGGTAATGGACAACGCTCCTTACCATTGCACTCAATTAAACAAAGCCCCTTCAATGTCAAATATAAAAAGTAGTATGCAGGAATGGCTCCGGCAAAAGGTATATATTTTGAAGGCAGATATTTTGGAGAAAAGCTGTGCTGTTTGAGCTAATCAAACAAAATATAGGTCCACCGACATTTGCAGTGGAAGAATTATTAACAGCTCACGGACACGAAGTATTAAGGTTGCCGCCTTACCATTGCGACCTAAACCCGGTGGAGGAAATCTGGAGCCTTGTAAAAAGAAAGGTGGCGAATAAGAATGTGGCACAAGATCCAAAAGAAATTGTAAAATTAACTGTGGAGGCATTTGAGTTTATTACGGCGGAAGATTGGACAGCTCAGTGCACGCATGTCGAACATTTAGAGGAGGAATATTTAAAAAATGACGGCCTTATGGATGAAGAGATGGACCGAATAATTATATCTACGGCTAGTGATACTGAAACAGAATCTGATTCAGTTTCCATCCACTCTTCAGACAGTGATGTTCCTATGGCCACTGATCACAATTATTCAATAAAACTCTGAATAAAAAATTGTAATGCTTTGCTTTACCCTATTTTCTCATCTTTTCCCTGTAAGTAGGTAGAAAACCGCTTATAAAAGTAAATAAAAATATACTTTTTTACATAACAGAAATATAGTAAATTATGTAAATGGACATTTTTATCAAAATTTATGTTTAAATAAACTTAAACTAGGAAATGTGACATCCCACGTTTCCCAGTACTGATCATGACCAAAAATCGTCGGCTTTTATTGCTTTGTTTTTAGTTTCTCACCTGAACACTGAAACTATTTAATAATAACACGACACTTACATAGTCGTAATAACGTTAGTTAATTGGACTTATTGCATGAGTCATCCCATGAGTGGGTTGGTAGACATTTTGATAAAAATGCCCAAATATACATTTCACTTATCAGAAATATACATGTTTCAGTAATCTGAACTATTGTTATAGTAACTATTGTTGTAGTAGGCTTGAGTAATGAAATTACAGCCTATCTAAAATGTATTTATTTCTTAATACAATTTAATAGTTTCGTCGAAGTCTGCAGGAAATAATATTATTTGATAAATTACATATGCTAAATGTACAATAGGTAAATTTTTACTCATAAATGGCAACACTATGTCACGCGAGTACAGCGCTGCGTCTGGGGGACTTCTTTCATGAAAAGGACTTTACATTCAATATTATAGTTTAGGGCAGAAGAATTTAAAATATACACATAAGACACATAAGCCTTGACCTGACATCCACCAAAGCAGCACAGAACTAATAAATTATATTTTTCTTTTTCGTTTTCTGTAGTTTTATTTTTTTCAAAAATGTGAATAAAATTTAACTCCTTACATCCTTACAACATAGGATTATGTTATCCCAAAGTAAGGGAAATGTTTTTTTTTTAAATTCTTCTTTTATTTTATGCAAAAAGTTGTCACACGAGCAAACGGCTGACTTGATGTTAAGTGAATACCGCCGCCCATGGACATCTGCCACACCCGAGTGTTACAGATGCGTTGACAACCTTTTGAAAATTGGGCTCCGGCTACCTCACTCACCAGACGAAACGTGAAAGTATTTGTCATACTTCCACTTTACGCTGGTCTTCTGTGAGGTCATGGTACTTACCCGGACGGGTATCACCTGCCCATGCAACGGCAGAGGTTGCTGCGTGGCCCTACCAACGTAAAATTCTAATTTAACTCCTAAAAATATTCCCAAAAAATTTACCTCCTAAAAATTTCCATTGTATCTTCCTTAATTTAGGAAGAAAATTCCTAAGTTGCCATCCCATATTACGTGCTTAAGTACCAATGCAGTCCAGCTCAAGGCTAAACAAAATTTAAAGACATCGTTAATAGTACGATTCGTATTTAAATGAAACAGAGTTTTTTTCCATGATTTTAAGATTCAAAATTACTTAACTTATTCATAAAATCTGTTTGAAAATCTGATATTGTGCGTTGTTTGCCGTACCGCTCTAACTAGTGAGTTTTTGTATCTCACGCGCTTTGTCGCTCGAAATCTGTATAAAATTTGATATTGTGGCAAACGCGTATGATATCGCGATTCGTGTTGGTATAGCGTTGGATATTGTACCAATATACGATTGTATTGCCCACTTCTAGGTCTATCTGTGATTGCATGACAGCTCACAGCAGACATGAGACAGCCGACAATCCCACAATCTGATACGTCTGTCAATCAAGTTACAAGTTAATGTGATTTTCGTTATAGAATTAAAAATAAAGGTTATGAGTCGACAAGAGCGGTAAACCTAAAAATAAATAATAAGTTATAATTTTGAAGAACAAGAATATAATGTCGTTACTATCTTGCGCTGCTATAGTTTTAAAAAGAAGTTTTGCTTTGCGTTCAACTTCTTCCTATGCCAATTATGTCCCTCAAATTACTCGAAGTTCATCTTCAGTTACAACAAAAACTATTCATGACGTGAATACAAATGTTGCAAAAGATGTAATATTATTCAAATACGAGAATCCTAATTTTTATAAATACATGAATATATTCGCCATCGTTCAGTATATGTTTTGGACGTATCTTGGTTTATTCGCATTCAGATCCTTGAGAGATGCGCCGGTCGACAAATCCATGATCACCGAAGAAACTCCCTGGTATAGGAAAATTAATCTCGGTGAAAATAAATACAGAAATACTCTAGGATCTGTTGCTATTATCATAGGTAAATATGAAATTTGTAAATATCATCCACAATTTTAAATTTAAATTGCAGCTAAATTAATTGGCCTCTTATAGACTGGTACTTTCATAGGATAATCATCAAAGCAATTATGAAATAGCATATTTCCAATAAAAGTTATTGTTTGAGGCAAAACAATTGTTTATAAACTCTAAAAATTGTTACAAATCATATTGTGGTCCATGCAAAGAGTGAAATACTTGTTGCATTAATATTCCCATAGGTTCTGGCTAGCCCACCAGTTCAGCATCAGAATAAGCTTTAATAGTCTCACGACTGAAAGTACCAACATCAGTTTATACAAGGCATTAATATTTTCTATTTTTCAGGTACTGGATCTTTGGCAATGGTATGGATGTATACTCTAAAATCAGTGAGGTATTTAATTCTGCACAAAGGTGGGAAGCACTTGACATTTGTGACATATGGTCCTTTTGGTAAGAACCGCATGATGAAGGTTCCTGTTGAAAATGTCTGTTGTAGAGAACATCGGACATTAGCTAAAGTGCAACTGCCACTAAAAGTAAAGAATACTATGATGCATTATATGCTCGATATGAGGGGAGAGTTCAAGAATGCTCTTTTGTTTGATAGCACAGCAGGCTTATCCAGAAAGTGGTGAATGTATTTGAAAATAGATCATTACTTCTATGAAATCTACAAGTAAGCTTTTAGGAAATCAATTGTTTGTAAATAAAAGTAAATATACCTTGTGAACATTTTGTTTCCTTTACTTTTCTGTCCTTTCCATTGATTTCCTACTACAAAATAGTGTGTCTATCATATCATTTTTATTATGTTGAAAAAATAATTGTTTTGACACAATATATCTATAATAAGGTTTTTTAATGAAGTAATTGAGTTCTCGAGTGGAGACCGCGTGTTGGAAAACGCAGTGTGGGGCGGCCACCCGCGAGATGGACTAACCTGTCCAAAGTCGCGGGATTTCGCTGCATGCAGGCCGCTTCAAACCGATTGAAGTGGACATCCCTAGAGGAGGCCTATGTTCAGCCGAGGACTCTTACAGGCTGAAATTATACAGCTCTTAATTTGAAGTGATGAATAACAAATTAATTGTCCATGTAATTAACAAATAAAATTTTTCTTTTATTTGGGAAAGGGAAGAGAATATTTATTTGAGAAATGATTTCACCTATATAGGTGATATCTTTTTTCGATGCCATAATCGATTACTTGCTGTCATTTTTTGACAAATCAAAACATCGGAGTACGGTAAACTGTGCTCACGGTGATGTGAGCCAAATTGTCAATATTTACAAGTTTATTTTAATTAAAGGGGGTAAGTACCTACATTTGAAAAAACAAACGAGGTATAAGTCGCATCCATACAAGTTTTTCCACCACGCACAGACCGAATACTTTTGCATAATATGCGGGCTTTAAGCCAGGTACCAAGCAGAATATTCAGTATTCGGCAAATACCGAATATACTCGAAATATAATTCAAATAAAGTAAGGTCATAAATAACAAGGCAGTTTGAGATTTATCCAGAAAAAATCTTTATTTTAATTTTTATAATTATAGCAACAGAAAAATTAGGTCATTTAAACACGAAATAAACAAGAAATATCAATAAATCAATAACAAAAAAATAAACTTCATTTTTGTATGTACAAGACTGACTTCCAAGTTAGACACGAACTTTATAAATATTTACTTGGTTAATAATTTTGGAATGAAAAGTAAATTATAGTGTAGAGTACATATTTAATATTTTTAATATAAGTCCCTTATTATTAAGACTGACATATATAATTATTAACCGATAACATTTACAAGCATATAAAGGCCCTTAGATTTGAAGGTATTACCGGCAACTATGTGAAGGTAATGAATATTTAATTTTCATATCATTTAGTAACATTAAACAGTAAACAGTAAACATTTTTGATATTCCACGTCCAATGGTTTATTATTTTATTAACATGAATGCATTTTTAAACCGTAGGTACATTAAAAACAAAATTACATCAAATTAGAACTGTCGCCGAATTCATGTCCAACTTTGAAATATAATAAAAATAAGCTAACACATAACTCAAAACATCATATCGATATTCGGTGCGAATATTCATACGTTAGAAGACAACTTAAGGACGAAATAATGATCCGCTTAAAGGCTACACGTCTACTGACAATTTCCCGAATTAAGTCTACAAATGCTTCAACTAGCCTGCTAAAACAAGCTAAGTGGGATCGACAGTGCATTGAAATTGTTAACGCCATGAACAGAGCTTATATAATATGTGAAATGGGCGCAAGTCGTTTCGCTTACATCTAATAAATAAAAATTATGCGAAAAATGTTACGTTCTAAATACTTCTATATCGCGATAATAGATAGTTACATGACAGTTTAAACGCGAAGCGAGGTAACGAAACGGAGTCACAAATAAATTATTAAAAATAAACCAAAACGACTGTGAGATCATAAAGACAAATTACTTCTTATTTTAACAATTCCAAATTGCTGCTCCGTTATTCGTGCGACATTCATATTTTGTTTTGAGATGAAAAATTTAATCAACTTTGCAAAGTGTATATAATAAAAAATATAATGCGACTCGGATCAGAGCGGCACCGTCAATCCTCAACTATTAAGTACATACAACATTAAAACCTTATTTACAATAAATCATAAATATTAATGCACTACTAATAAATTACATGCTTAAGGCTCCGAGTGTGACACGTCGCGTGGTATTGAAGCGGCGAGAATTCAAATGAGACCTAACAACGTTTACATTCAGCCATCACAGGTGATTTAAAAGAAATAATAATAATAACGTACAGCACAATTATTATGTATAACTCGTCCCCCCACTGCATTGCAGTTACAATTACTCGTACATACTTTCCTATTACAGATAAAATACAGAGCCGACAGTGATAAAGGCCGCGCACAACTTTGGAATTCATAGGAGAATATTGGATTCCTTTCGGGCATTAGTGGAACAAACTTTCTGCCTCGCTCCCACTTCATTTTGGTGTACAGTCGCAAAAAACGTAACCGTACGCTTTTGTGTTCATAGGTTTGTTGAATGGTTTTTGCACTCGACTGTACATGCGAAAAACTCACGGAGTCAACTTCACTCAGGCGCCATTAAGTTTTGCGCGGCTTTCTAACAATTGCACTTTATTATCACTGTCCGCGCCAAACAAACAGGATCGAATGTAAAAACTAAGGAATATATTTAATCTGATCTCTACAACACAGTTTATTTTTTTTTTCAACTTTACAAAAATATACGACATTGATTGTCTGTTAGAATCACACATATCTCTTTGCACACGTACAACTAATCTATGAAGTACTTACATTAAGTTATTTCCAAAAGCAATATTAATTACCGTTAGTTTTAAGCAAAATCCATTAGCGGACCGAATTGACCGCTGAGATTACGCGACCACATCAACGCGGTTAAATAAAACTATTTACCATTTATTCGTTAAACATAATTATTAAACAAACAATCTTGGCACTCGCCGCTTTAAATCATTCTTCAGTCTCAAGTCTTACAAAAAAAAAAATATCAGTCAACCGTTTTTATTCTTTATGAAAACGTCGCGATGAGTTTATTTAATCTGTCAAAGTTCCCGAGTCTGTATTTTGACAATTTACAAATAATATATAATATCGATTTAACAAATAGACAATGATTTGCTACATGATTATAATATATTTAATAATATTTTATTTTACGACAAGAATTTAACACCAATGATATTACAATAAATATAAATTTGCAACGGGAACTCTATAAGTAACAGCATAAACATCTTTTATATTTTGACTACGTAAAAAAAATATCGTTTTACGCATTAAAAGAATAAATTAGATAGTTACTATTTCTGAACAGATTAAGAGCTCGTACAATATAATATATATTTTATTTAAAATATCATTGGTAATTGTATTAAAGTAAAACGCAATTTATTTGTAGTTTATACAAAAATAGCAGACTCCTATTCAGCTACCTGTGAATCCTGTATTATTTTTTTAATTTTATTCGTATAATGTCACGAAAGAGTTCAGAAAATACTATTTTAAAATACACTTAGGTCAAAAACGTCTCATTTCGGGCATCTCGTAACTAACTTGGCCCACACTAAACATACATATAATATATGCGAATATCTTTTTTATACGTGTTTATTTTTTATAAACGTTTAATCAAGATTGTTTACAATGAAATTGATTTTTATTTAAACTACACAAAACGTACCAACATTCACATGAGAAATGGGATATAATTTTTTACACTGCTCTACTTTGAATCTTATCAATGAATACTATTACATTACAATGTTGACACCGAAGTAAACCGTTAACCTATAGTCATTTAATTATATTTCTCAACGACAATAAATACCTATTTTAAGAATTACAAACCGCTTGTAATTGTTTCTCACAAATCTAATCATCTGTGCGGCCCGAAAATGCACAATTTTTGTATCCTTAATACGAATAACACGTCGCTTCTCTTTGTTATTTAGTCTATGACAGAGACAACCGTGGGGATTGCTAAATACATTTATGTTACGCTTCGTTGAAAATTAGTCTCTAACATTAAGACATAGAATCCATTAACGATTGACGCGCGCGCCATCTGCTTAAGAACAAGGGAGGTTCTTGTCCATAGGTTAAGTCGCGTGGTCAATTCTAATGTGGGCTTTATGCCGGCGCATTACGGTGCATTTTAGTTCAATATCGCTGTCTACGTCAATCGGAGAGGTACCTAGGGCGCGAAACATCGTCGCCGTCTTCGTCGCGACCCGGACCTATGCTTTCGATTTCGTCCACCTCCTCCAAATTCTTCGTGTTGGGGTTGCAGAGTCTGGAATAGAGATAATAAATATAAGTAAATAAAAAAATACTTGTTAAATGAAACTACTTTACGGATTTTATCGCGTTTTTTAATTTTGATTTAAATTCCCGACGTTTCGAACCCTTTCCAGCGTTCATGGTCACGGGACAGACTAAGTTGTTATACGTCTTGATGTCATAGTTAACCCCGGCTACCGTCAATTATTTTGTTTATTTTTATTCCATCTGTGACAAGGAACACCTGGCCGCTGAGCTACACAATGTCAAGCAAGTGCTGCGTGACAACAAGCTCCAAATCCCGCGCCTGCGTCACAGTGACCGAGTGAAACCAGCCACAGTCGACCGAGTGCCTGCTGTATTGCCATATGTCAGAGGAGTCACTGACAAGATGGGCTATATCTTGAAGCGTGCTTCAATTAAAACATATTTCAAGCCACCGAAGAAGATAAGTCAATTTTTATCATCTGTCAAGTGTAATATCCCTCTACAAGATCCAGGAGTGTACAAGCTTGACTGCGATTGTGGGCTCTCTTTTATAGGACAAAAAAAACGATCAATTAAAACCAGAATTAAAGAACACATGGCTGACGTGAAGCACCGACGGTTGAAGAAGTCTGCAGTTTGTGATCATATTTTAGACCGCCCCAACCACTATATTAGATTTGATCAACCGAAAATCCTCGCAAAAGAACACCGATTCCTTCCAAGGATGATCCGTGAGGCTATTGAAATAAAGAAACATCCTAATTTCAATTAAGATGGTTGGAGTTTATCATCTGCTTGGGATCCCATAATTTATAAAATTAAATCCAAGCACACCAACACTGCCAGACCTCAAGATACCATAAGCTCCTTCTGTGTGGATCGGAATAAAAATAAACATAAACAAAATAATTACGGTAGCCGGGGTTAACTATGACATCAAGACGTATAACAACTTAGTCTGTCCCGGGACCATGAACGCTGGAAAGGGTTCGAAACGTCGGGAATTTAAATCAAAATTAAAAAACGCGATAAAATCCGTAAAGTAGTTTCATTTAATATGTATAATATTCGCGTAAAATCAAGAAAACAATATAAAAAAATACTTTTTCGCCACATTCATGCACAGCTTGTTATTTCCTTTCCGTTGATACTTTTTTTTCGTTTTAACTTTGAGTTATTAATATTATTATAATTACTGTTTTAACGTATTTTTTTCTTTAGTATTTTTGTTCAAGATTTTTCTTTGTATTCTTAATCTTTGTATTATTATGGACATATCTTCCAAGTGTCTTGATGAAGGTGACGGATTAATTGTCTAAATGTCTATAAATATAAAGCCTTCCATTCACTGCTATTAATTATTATCCGGGTCTTTGTTGGCACAAGCAAAGCCAGTGGGTTTGCAGGTGCGTTGCCAACTTTCAAGAGGTTGACCCTCCTACCCCTGTTACCTCAGTTATCGCACAAAAGACCGGTGCTAGCATAAATAGATATAATTATATTTTAAATCGTCGAGTGATGGCCGTACTTGTCTGGACAGAGCGGCCCAATAATGCAACAGCGGGTATCGGGCAATTCACGTATTCACCAATTAATTTGTGTACCAAGTCTTATTTTTTTTTTTTTTTTTTTTTTTTTTCTTTTTTTTTTTGCAAACATTGTCCTTACTTTGGGATAACATTATCCTGTGTTCTAAGGACGTTTCACAAACATACATTTCACGCGGACAAACACCCAGATGCGAAACAACTATCTGTGGGTCAAACAAATAGTTGTCCCGTGCGGGAATCGAACCCACGACCCCCGACGCCGGAGCCAATGCCTTGGAAACTGCGCTACGGAGTCATCAAAATGGTGTAATGGCGACACTGTTCCCTCTATTGCTACTAATTTTAGTACATTTCATCGTGACGGTGTTTGTTTTTCGTAATAACATCATTCAACTGGGATAAGATCACGCAAGTCTTCGCTTGCAAGAATTGGCAGATCCGGGTAAGTACCACAACCTCACAGAAGACCGGCATGAAGGTGAAGTGTTATACTTCTACGTTTCTTCCGGAGAGTGAGGTAGCCGAGATACATTTAATTAAAACGTGGCACCGCATCCGCAACTCTACGGGCGTTGCAAATGTCAATGGGAGGCGCTTATCACACAATATCGGGTGATTCGCCAGCTCGCTTGCCAAACATAAACAAAATGACGGCGGCGACCTCGAAAATTATCGAGCATACTACACAATGGAAACGGAGAGTTTCCCAAGAGGCGAGTCAAAGAACGGACAAAACCTATATAAACTGCATTATTTCGATCCGATCGGTTGCTGCTTTTGTCTTTCGTAAGGCTTGGGTCAGGGAGGTTAAACGCCTAGAGGCCACGGAAGGTCACCTACCTGCATTTGCAGCAGACGATGCAGGGCGCGGCTAGCAGAAGTAGGGGGCTTGCCACAAGCAGCAAAAGTCCAAAGCCGGCGAATATACCGACCACCTGCAACCACGCAAATTGTTGAATACCTTTAATTTTATATTACACGTACCTTTTTATGTACCAAAAATGTGTAACTTGTCTATGAATACTTTACGGAATTGTTAAAATTGAACTTTAATGCGGCCAGCTCGTTTGCCACTTTCTCACGTAAAAAAAGGCAGTGGGGTGTAAAGGCTGTTAACCTCCTTTTTTATCATTTATCACGCAGCCACCTCCTAAATAAATTTGCATTTTTTTCTAGGATATCCAATCTTTAGTTCTCTTCGGTTACGATAATAGTATCGTCCATTATGTAACTTTTATTGGGTATTACTTTTATACTGAAACAACCTAGTCCTGATAATCAAATCTTTCATCTGATACAAACAGTAGCGGATTCATTATCCGTAGCTGATATTTTAAACACTGAGAACAGCAGTACACAAGCGTGACCATACACCCACACATAAAAATATATAAACATAAAACACGTAGTCTCAATGTCTGCGTGTCGGTCGTTTCCTGCGTTTATAAATCGAGAATCAATGCACCTATTAAAGTGATTTTTTTTTGGGTGTACGCACGTCGCCTGGACAGGTTTAGGTATAAATTTCATAACGATAGATGAACAAAATAACGCAAAATAACGCGCGAGCAAAGCCGCGGGCGCAGCTAGTGGGTACCTGAGCACGGTGCCAGAGAACCGAGGCGCGCGAGTGTCCGAGCTTGTTCTTGCACGGCCCCTTGTCATAGTGGCGCAGCAGAAAGTCGTCCTGTAACAACAAAATTTCACATATCTAAATCACATATCTTCTTTTCTATACAAGCAAAAAGTTGCGACCGAGCTTGCAGTTCACCTAAAGTTATACAAAATATCTAACAAGTATTAAGAGCCAAAAGATAAAATTAAAGAAGTGTAAAAATAAATAGTTTGCAATTTTTCCACTGCGGTTTGGCGGACTTCACATATATTGGAATTTTTTTTTTATTATTTCGATAATATGCAGGTTTCCTCACGATGTTTTTCTTAACCGCTGAGCACGTGATAAGTCAGCGCTTATAATTAACAAATTTAATTATCCGTACGCACATAGTTTCTAAACATAATCAGCTTCAATATAAGTAAATGTGGAAATATGTATGATATGAAGGGCAGTAGTCTCCGCATAAAACAGTAGCGCTCTAACGTCTTAAATTAGAGAACCCTGAAAAGATAACTCGATTAAGTTCGCATCACTACGGCTAATTGGCATTAAAGTGTCAAACGGTGACCTCTAGCCTCTTGCGTGTACAAGCACATTTAATTTAAATTACATTACATTGAGTACATTATAATGCTCTTACATTACTGTGATATAATTATCAACATTTTAACTATAGAATGTTAAATTAAGAAGATTAAGTTAAGCTTCTGAGCACACACAAAGATAAATAAATCATAGCGAAATGAGAAATAAATCTTTTCTTGAGTGTCCTAGGGTTTTAAGGATTAGTTTTAAATGTTAAAATGTAATACATCCATATTTTAGAGATCGGAGATGTCAAGTTGTATTTATATACAGTTCATACACGCGAAGTCGTTTCATTAAAATGCTTTTTACGCAGGAAAACCGAAATCCCAACAAACGGAAAACATCACTAGCATTTAACCCTTCAAATCAAAAATCTACATACGTCTGTGATCACAAATCTTCATACGTATATATGGCTTTCTTCAGAGATGGTTTCAGAGAAACCATTATTTTTTTTTTACTTCTGGGTGGTCCGCGTGAAATTTATGTTTGTAAAACGTCCTTACAACACAGGATAGTGTTATCCTAAAGTAAGGTAAGACTTATGTTTAGAGCTGTCACTCCGCGTCCCAGCCACCGATTACCTAAAAATACAGTTGACGGCCATCGGGCTCTCGGTCCGGACCGCAACCTCGATGGCCCTTAGATGACATGCCGTAGTTAAACGCACGCATGAGCACATGCGCGGCCCTACCCACAGCGGAGGGTCCAAACCCGTGGGTTCTGCTTCAGATGAAGCTTTAATAGTCTCGGGACTGAAAGCACAAACATCACATAATACAAGATACAAGAAGCTGTCACTGTTGTCTCCCACAAACTGATCGAGTTCATTATTATATTATATCGTAAATTAATAAGTTTTAGGCCATTTTAAGCTTATATGAACGGCAAAATCTAACACACAAATACACAGTACACGCGAAGAGGATTAGTTGAGGTAAAATATAACTTTTTGTCTTAACATTAGGAATAACTGAAGAGCACCATAATGTACAATTGCGCGTTTCATCGGCTGTGATAGGTATCCGGGATACCCTTTCACTGGTTGGCAATTAAACTGCATCAGACGAAATGTGAGGATCGTTTGCCTTCTCTTCGTAGAAAACACGCTGAAAACTTCACTTCGATATCTTTTAGCAGCCTCGTGTCGTACTCTCCTCGCTCCCGCAAAGCGACGTTTGAAGCCACTTGAGAACGCACAAACGCAAACGTTACAGAGCCAAAGCGTGCCTCATTCAGAGCCGCGAGTCAAAGGCTCGCTTTCGCACTCAAATGCGTGTCAAGGGAGCCCGGCTGTTCTTCACCGTCTAATTATAAACGCCGACCGAGAAGTCTGTAATTCTGTATGCTTTATAAATAAAACGTTAACGCTAATCGATTCATTATCGATGTTATTTAAAAAAAAAGTATTTTATGATGAAAGAAAAGTATTCAGAATATCTTTTTTACGATTTGCAAAAAGGTATTGAGGGCGGTGTGACAAGTGACTAAAAAGTAACGCTAGGAGCGTGTGAAGACAACTTTTTTTTGGAACTAGTAATTGTTTAGTTTTAGACAACAAATGTAAGCGACTACTCGATTTATACAGAAGGAAACGTAGAAAAAACAATCGTTACATTAAACATAATCGATGCCATATTTTACAGTTCAAAAAGAGGTATTCGATTAAAGCGTATTCTTTTTCCTCCTATTATTGTGAGTAGCGCCAGGTCAACGGACATTTATAACACCTGTATAGGGTTGCGGTGAACAGACGAAACACTTAAGTATAAACTACCCCTTCTTTGAGTTCGGCTGATCCCATTACAGAGAAGATCTCTGCGCAGCAGTTTGTACATACATATGTAAATAGGCTGACTGTTGATTTCTCTGCTGTTATTTTTTGAGCTGTCGGCTTGTGTATTTTTATTTTTCAATCGATTTCAAAAAGGTTCTCGATTCGGTTGATTGTTTTTTTTTTTAGTTTTGTGACCTTCAAATTTCACAATTTGTGAACCGATTTTAAAAATACGTTACACTGGCAACGTTGTATACAGTAAGGAAGTGTTGCATGAATGGGCAGGTCCGTCCGGGGAAGTACCACGACCACACGGAAGACCCGCGTGTAACGATAGTGTTATTTATACTTCCGCTTTTTGTTTAGGAAACGGAGCCTACTTTATTAAAAGTTGGCAACGCATCTGTAACCCTACGGGTGTTGCAAATGTCCATGGGAAGCGGTTATCACTTAGCATCTTTTTATCTTTTTTTTTTTTTCAAAACATTGCCCTTACTTTAGGATGACATTATCCTGTGTTGTAAGGACATTTTACAAACATACCACCTTCTTACGCTGTCTTACCACCTTCCCACATATAACAATAAAACTGTGGACAGTCACGGTCACACTAGTCGCGCCCGTTTAGAGTAAAAACAATATACGAATAGTTTTCTACGCGTCGACGTGCCCGTAACACCCAAAGTGCTCCTCGAAAGCCCCTCAAGTATTACCCAAACGCAGTTTGAGTGTTCTCGAGACGTTGCAACACGGCCAAGTTACCGTTTACGAGAAGGAAAACATTTGAAACGATAATGCGGAGTGGTTTCTATGGCGAGTTCTATTTGAGACGCCAAGCCAATTGTCGGCACTTCATGGGTATGTCGGAGTGTTATGGTAATTTGACATGTGAATTCAATACGGGTAAGGAAATTATTGTTAACTCAAAAAGGCTGAAATGGTGAAGGAAATTGTATTATTGCGTTTTTGGAGACAGTGATAGGCAAATGGCTAGGGTGTTGGTCTTTCAATCTTAAAGACGCGGGACAAGACATTAAATGATATTTAATCTTCTCTCTTATAATGTCTTTGGTCGCGGAGTTCAAATCCCATCAGCTTGCAACAAAGGGCTTCCTCATATTTCAGATTACTTATGTGCAAATTCATTTCTGTTCCATTCCTTTCATTGCAGCCAAGCGTAGTCAGGTATTTACTGGGAGCATTGCATATTACAATGGAACGATGACATTTAAAAGAGTTTTTGAAAAGTAACATAACCTGAATAAAGTATATATTTTTTTACATTGACTTTAGCAGTTCATTTATATTCTGTTTAGGTGCAATACTAAGAGTTGACCTCGTCTGGTATTTGAAAGTCCGCTCATTTGAAAGATTTTCACCCCTTGAACTTTTCTTAAGCATTTAAGACCCCTTATGCTGTTTAGTAGTGACCTCGGCTCGTTCAAGCACGTCGATCTTTTTTCTTCACCAGCGGCGCCCTTGATCCCGGCCCGATATGGGTTTCAGAATTGACGTATTTCACGAGTATATCGTGACGTGTGAGTGTTTATTTGTGTGCTTATTTTTCGATAATTTTATAGAAAAAAACGTGGATGCTCGATGATGAAATGGTTACTTCATTTACCAGACGAAACGGCTAACTGCCACAACATTGAAAATATCAACGTATTTTATAGACATCGTATCTTCGCATTTAAGCAATGTTTGTTTTCTACAAATTTTAACGTCTGTTGGCTGTTTACGTGCAATCGCAATTTACGCTGTATTTACTGGTACTATAGGTTCGTGTACTCGCGAAACTGTAGCAGCAATAGCGCTTTATAAAATCAAATATAGAACATCGGATTAAGTGGATGTATGGCAATGCTAGAAAAGAGATAGCTCTATACAGTTTTTAAGGAAAAAAAATCGACATCAATCAGAAATTTAAAAACATTGTTAATGACTATAACATTCGATGATGGCCCTCGATTTCTCTGGGATGCCATCATCAGATCCGGGTTTCCTTATCATGGTACCATCCTTGGGATATCTCCTTTCTACCAAAAACAGAATCATCAAAATCGGCTCATAAACGACGTAAAGTTGGAATTGAGAAAACTCCTTCTATTTTGTAGTAGGTTAAAAATAAAATTTCAGTCAGCGTCCTTAAGGAGACGCATGGAGAAGATAGAAAGATTTCCACCTGTCGGTTGATACGGTTCAGGGTTTACGTGCTCCCGAGAGTACTTACGTCGAGGGAGGCGAGACAGTACCAGCAGAACACGTGCTTGCAACGCTTGCACATCATCTGAGCGCAGCCCTCGTCCTTCTCAATGGGCACCCGGCACATGGGGCACATCTTGATCAGCTCCGACTCCGGCAGCAGGGGAGCGCCGGCGCCGCCCATCGACGAGGAGGCCGCGGCGGCCTCGCACGTCAAGCCGCCGTGCCACTGTTGAGGAGCGATGCAAAGTTATAGCAGTGACTGAAAAACCCGTGGTAGGGCCACGATGATGACGATGCATTCGAACGGCGTACATTTACATCGAAGTGCTCGCATAGCGCAGCTGCATACCAATTAGCCTGTACACGCAGCAATGTATGTATTTTGCATCGAGAGCATCGGCAAGGTCCTTCAGCGTGCCGTTGAGTAAGGTTGTACTCAGGAAACTCTGTTATTGATACATGGGTCGATAAGCGTAATCAATAACAAATTATCTTTGATGAGATATTTAATTGCTTATATTTTTTATGTGTTGTAAATAGAGTATTATATATTAACAGTGAAATAGTAATTAAATTGTTGTAGCAGTCAGCGCAGCAGCAGTCTTCGCTGTTGCATGAATGTGCCACGTACCACGTAAGTACCACGACCTCACAGAAAACCGACGCGAAGTGGATGTGTCATACTTCTGCGTTTCGTCTGGGAGTGAGATAGCCAGGGTACACCTTATTAAAAGGTTTCAAAGCATCTGCAACCGCACGGGTATTACAAACGTCCGTAGGCAGCGGTTATAACTTAGCATTAGGTGAACCGCCAGCTTGCTTGCCTCATCTCACTTAAAAAAAAGATTTGTGTCCTATAAAAGAAATAGAGAACACTGTAGAGATGAGTGTAAGTTAAACTTCAAGACAAAAACGAACCAACTCTTATGTAGCTCCATAGCAAAAGTTGTGAAACTTTTTGAGCATTTTCGCGCGGTCTAACATCACCCATTTAAGTTTCCTTGATTTGTTAAGTACCATCTTGAATTTTATAGAAAAATTCTATAATTCTGCTCCTAAAATTCAATTATATCACTATATGATTATTCAATCTCTACAAATGACCTATAGATAGAAGATTCAAAAATATAGAACGTATAAAATGATTCTGAGACCAATAATTTTTAAAGTTCCGATACAAAGATTTTAAACAGCAAAATTTAACATAGATAATAAAGATGTCTAAATCTGTCTGCATTTTATGCATGTTTTTGATTAGTTGTCATGAAGCGCGTGAAGAACATCAGTATTCCCATCTGTCCGATAACGTGTTTTATTGCACTCGCTTAAGATTATACTTAACACACAAGCACGTGAGTAAATAACAAGATTTATTATGCTGACGTTAGTGAGAATTTATTGATAAAAGATGAGGTTATGAAAATATAATATATGTAAAAATTATTTTTTTCATATTATATTAGATTATATTTTGTTGTACATACAAGCATGCTTTATGTGGTTTGCAAATTTGAGTCTACTGAACTTGTTTGGATGATAAAAAATTTTTGATGTTTTATTTGGATGATAAGCGATAATTTGTTTACTATGACGATCAAACTCCGTGACGCAGTTGCTAGATATTGCCAGCATATTATAAGGCTTGATCTCACCTTTGTACACGAGCGATATACCTAAAGACTGACCACGGCGCTCTTTTATTCAGACCGCAACCTTAGACAACTAACCACTCGACTCCCAAAGCGCTGCCGACCGCCTCGGCGATTGGTTCCGCAAATGGAGAATAGAAATAAATCCCGAAAAGAGTGACTTCACACGAAGTACTTACCCGTCACATCTTTACAATGGCCCTTTTTTGATTAGTTGTCATGAAGCGCGTGAAGAACATCAGTATTCCCATCTGTCCGATAACGTGTTTTATTGCACTCGCTTAAGATTATACTTAACACACAAGCACGTGAGTAAATAACAAGATTTATTATGCTGACGTTAGTGAGAATTTATTGATAAAAGATGAGGTTATGAAAATATAATATATATTATGTAAAAATGTATTTTTTTCATATTATATTAGATTATATTTTGTTGTACATACAAGCATGCTTATGTGGTTTGCAAATTTGAGTCTACTGAACTTGTTTGGATGATAAAAAATTTTTGATGTTTTATTTGGATGATAAGCGATAATTTGTTTACTATGACGATCAAACTCCGTGACGCAGTTGCTAGATATTGCCTTCGGCGCCGGGAATCGTTGATTCGATTCCATCACGGGACAACTTTTTATGTGACCCACAGACAATTTCGGGTGTTTGTCCACGTGAAATTCATGAATGTTTACTTAAAAATAAACAATTAAAACGGTGTTCAATTGTACCAAAGAGAAAGAGTTACCACTTCATTAAAGGGTGGCAACGCATTTGCAACCGTACGGGTGTTGCAACTGTTCATGGGCGGCGGTTATCACTTAACATCAGGTGAATCGTCAGCTCGTTTGCCCCATTCTCACATAAAAAAATACCAACTTTTGGGTGTGCGAGTGAACAAACAGTATGTTTGTATATATGTGCGCGTGCATAGTGCAGCATAGCAGCACAAATTGTTTTCTTGAAATATTTTACAAAAATTTTGGCAGATTTTTAGTTTAGATAATTATCTTTTTTTTCAATGGCGTATAAATAAATATTAATCGAAATATATATATATATATATATATATATATATATATGTTTATGTATATGTATATACAGAGAGATTTTTTGAGAAGTGCCCAAATTTACACCGGAGGTTCAGACTCGGTAGCATAATCGTTTATTGAAATAAAAAAACAAATTTTTTTCCCAAAAAAAAATGCCATTCTATTCCCAAAAATCAGAACATGTTTATGAAGTTTTTTATACAATTTCTAACAACACCACGTTAAAGGTCAATGGCGTGTCCGGTTCTTGCCTTTAAAATTGGTTACTTCAATCTAATAAAAAAAAGACAAAATAATCATTACGCTATTATGTCATTAAAATGATACCATTGTAAATGATTATTAGAACAAAAAAGTATGATAACACCGTAAGTGAGCAGATAAATATAATAGTTAATAAATATGATAAAAAGTAGATTTTTTGCAAAGCTTTTAATTTTTAAGTGGATCCTAATTCCACTTAAAAAAAATAAAAGGTGCAATTATTTATGATTTTATTTTCGTAAATAGTTCAACCACGCTTCATTGACGCTTTTTTTCTCGTTGGTAATTCGGAATTCAAAGTTTACAAAAACACTTTCCTGTTTGATAGCTAAGTTTTGAACAAGCATTATATTAAGTGAAACCCATCGGCTACAGAAACATACGGAGGCTAAAGTTTAAAATACGAAAGAAGATATACGTAAAGCAAAGTTAACGGGGGTACGCGCTCTAGTTGGTATACTCGCGTACGTTTATGAATATGGAATAAAAATAGAATAAATGAAATAAGTTGATCTAAGCTCCGCTTTTTCATAGTTATTTGCTGAGCACATTTAACTTGGTGACTTAAGTTAACTGCAAAATAATACAAGGCACGAGTGATCAGAGTAGATTCTTTTTAGATACCATCAAAATCCTTTTTTTTTGTAATTGAAAGAACCGCCCAATGTGATATGTCCCGTAAGATTATGTCGATTAGGCTCAAATTCGTCAAACTTTGTCAAACACCATCCGTTTGCCGTAGAGAAGGCACACGGTGGTCGGCCTTCCTGTTGTGTTGTCTAGAATAAATTTGAATAGATAAAACGGGCGGTTGCCGTCCGATAAGTTCTAGAACTATAAGCAGCCATGTTTGTTTGTTTACCTGAGCGACAGGTTTGACCGGGTGACAGGTTTGACGGGACCACCCGTCGAGGAGCGTCCGATAATAATTATGTTCTCGTAAATTCTAAGCTGATTTTATATTAAACAGCATAAAGATTCTCCCGCGCAAATCGATTCACCTAAATGTCAGATTTGGAAATAGCTCTGAATAGAACTGGTCATAAGATATCTATAGCTAAACAGTTTATTTACAATATGTATATACATATCTTTCTTCACAGATGTATATGATATGTAGTGTCATTTGGTAAATAATGGCGTCACGTATTTGTGTTTACTTAAATAACCGGAGTGTTGTGTAAATTTTTTATAATTCAAAATTCGTACCATTTTCGATAGTTTTTATTAGAGATATGGTTTAGTTATTGTCCCACGAAATTTTAAGCATATATCTAGTCGATTAATATTCGAACAGAAAATATAACATCCTCATTTTACATTCACACGTCCTGGTAGAATTGCGGTCACAGGCCATTGTTTCCGCTAATTGTATGGATTTTCGCAAACGATATTCTATAGAGCGAGAGAACTCTCCACCATTCGTTTCACGTCAAGTTTCACCGTCCATTGTGGCGAACAATTCACGTTTCTTGAAATTGTGACTAACTGCTTTACGGCAAGTTAAACTACCGTAAATCATTTCACAAACTTAAGTTTTATGCATTTTTGAAATGTTGAGTTTTATCGTGTTGTTTCATAATCCTTACCGTGAAAAGTGTATGTTTGTAAGTTTACCTACGAGTATGTACTCATACTAATGCTTTACAAATTTGTATTACATGAGCTATGCCCGCGACTTCGTCCGTGTGAAATTTTAAATATATAAAATTTCGAAAATAAAATTAGCCTAAGTTACTCCTTATTACATCAGCTATCTGCCAGTGAAAGTCCCGTCAAAATCGGTCCAGCTGCTTCATAGTTTAGCCGGAAATATCAGACAGACAGACAGACACAAAAATTGTAAAAAAAGTTATTTTTGTCTATGTACGTGTGTAGAGCCGTGATAGCTCAGTGTCCGGGCGCTCGCCTTTAATTTATTTGAGGAACCTGAGTTCGACCCCCGGTGCCAGCACCAATGAAATTGTCAACTTCAAGCGCTGAATTATCACGTACTCAGCGGTGAAGGAAAACATCGTGAGGAAACCTGCACATTTTCGAAATAATAACAAAAAATATTTATTTCGAAGATATGTGAAGTCCGCCAATCCGCAGTGGGGCCGCGCGGTGGACTATGCCCTGATACCCTCAGTACAGAGGAGGCCTTTGCCCAGCAGTGGGACATGTAGAGGCTGATACTTTTACTTTTACCGTGTATACATCGATATGCATTTATATCACTTCCACTTAACAGGCCCGAAGTGGAGGTATTATACTTCTGCGTC